GGGGGACTGTTTTGGGACACTCTTGTAGGACACTCTTGCGGGACACTCTTGTAGGACACTCTTGTGGGACACTCTTGTAGGACACTCTTGCGGGCCACTCTTACGGGGCACTCTTGTGGGACACTCTTGTGGGACACTCTTGTGGGGCACTCTTGTGTGTCACTCTTATGGGACACTCTCTTGCGAGACACTCTTGTAGGACACTCTTGTGGGTCACTCTTACACGACACTCTTGTAGGACACTCTTTGTGGGACACTCTCAAAAGCACTCTTGTGGGTCACTCTTATGGGACACTCTTGTCGGACATTCTTGTGGGACAGTCTTGTGACACACTCTTGTAGGACACTCTTGTGGGTCACTCTTACAGGACACTCTTGTGGGGCACTCTTGTAGGACACTCTTGTAGGACACTCTTGTGGAACACTCTTGTGGGACACTCTTGTGTGACACTCTTGTAGGAAACTCTTGTGGGACACTCTTGTAGGACACTCTTGTGGGGCACTCTTATAGGACACTCTTGTGGGACGCTCTTAAGGGACACTCTTGTGAGACACTCTTGTGGGACACGGTTGCGGGACACTCTTGTGGAACACTCTTGTGGGACACTCTTGTGGGACACTCGTGTCGCGACACGGTCTGCCCACACACTAGAAGCAGTCACGCGAGCGTTTCGTACGAGACTTCCTCCAAAAGTCACGCTTCGAGGCTGCAAGACGAGCGTTTCGTACGAGACTTCCTCCTAAAGTCACGCGTCAAGTCTCCAAAACGGAGCGTTTCGTACGAGACCTCCTCCAAAAGTCACACGTCAAGTCTCCAAAACGAGCGTTTCGTACGAGACTTCCTCCAAAAGTCACGTGTCAACTCTCCAAAACGAGCGTTTCGTACGAGACTTCCTCAAAAACTCACGTGTCAAAGTCTCCAAAACGAGCGTTTCGTACGAGACTTCCTCCAAAAGTCAAGCGGAAACACCCATCGGAGCACACACATCACGCAGCCCTGCCAAGCAGTTTCGCGATTCCAGCCCCTCCAAACAACACCCGCTCACACGCCAATCCCAATGAGACAACGACAGTCACCTCTACCACAACTCACAACCTCACGATTCCCTGCGCCTGCCACGCATCTTTCCGCGTCCGCACGTCTAACGCGCACAAAGTACTGCGCCTGCCACGCAATGTCACCTCCGTCACACCTCGCAACCTCACGATTCCCTGCGCCTGCCACGAAAATCACACTTCCATGCCTCAAAACCCGCACAAAGTACTGCGCCTGCCGCGAAAAGTGACAATATCATCTCATGTGAGCTTCAACAAAATTTGCACCACACCACACGTTTGGAATGATTTCGATCCGTTCTGAGCACACTCCCATCCACCAAAATCGCCATTTCAGCTGAGACTTGTCACGAAAACAGAGCTTCGATGCCACACCCTGAAACGCAAATCCCAATGGCACGGCCACATCCAACACCCCAAAAACACGACTCTCCAAATGCTAATCCCAATGGAACTGCGTAGCAAACTGAGGATCTCACAAAACGCTGCGCCTGTGCAGCGAAATGCATCACGCTTCTTGCGCGACATGCCATTTTCATGCAAATCACAATGGAATAGCGTCGCAAACTGACACGTGACACATCCATGAAAAGTCACTTGCAAAAGCTTCCCCCAATGGCAGCGCCTTAGCGCTCTACTGCGAACGGTTGCGAACGGTTGCGAACGGTTGCGGACGGTTGCCAACGGTTGCGAACATAGAAGCAACGGGTCGCGAACAAAGCTCTACCCCCAGACCCCCAAGAGTTAAACGAGAACCCTTCGCTACGCATTCGGGAAAAAGCTCTTGCAACAACGCACGTTTAAAACACATACCATTGAAGCATTGCCCTAGAAATATATCCACCATGGACCATAGCTTAATAGCCTTTACCGAACCACCATTGTTTTACGGTTTTACACTAGACAAAACAAGCCAGATCAACCATCATGGTTAAAAAAAAGTAAAACCTGGTCGACTTGACTTCCAGGGTATGTGGTTTTTGTGTTTGAATGGTTTTGTTGTTTCGTTTCTTTCGGTCTATCCACCTCGAGGCCATCTTGGACGGTGACTTCCAGGCGTGGACCGCCGTCTGTTCCCGCGTTTGTTCCCGGACCGGTCCAAGGGGCCGGGACCACCGTCGAACTTGGGGAGCCGGGAACCATAGGAACCATGGGAACCCTATGGAGAGTTATGGAGTACCCTATGGTACCCTGCAAGTCCAGTCAGAATAGTCAGACTCAGTGACGTTTCACTTCAAACCTGGTCTAAACGTAACTTCCGACAGAGAGAAAAAACGGTTTTTGTACGACAGACAGACAGACTCCAGAAAAATGAGGTCATTGACCTATATAGGGGTAATTACACGTTGAGGATACCCTTTGTTAGGTGAGCTTCCTGCAGGTCCTGTCCCACCTTCGGCTATTCTTTAGCCGATTGAACTTCATTGCCGCAGACTTGACGAAGAATTTAGAGGTACTTGAGGAAAACATGTTTCCACCAGACATCCACGGCAGTGACTTTTCAATCATCTTAGAAGACAAGCACAGCCAAGCAGTTCAACAGCGTAGCATGTTAATCAAGAATCAAAGCTACCACGCAAAGATGAAGCGCCAAGAGCTTCCTTGCTGCGACGTGTCCCGGAACGTTCGCGAGGTGAACCTGACCATGGAGCCGTTGGAGGTGAGGGAAGGAGCCGGCAGGAGCGTCGAAGAGACGACAAATCATGAACAAGTTGCTTCTTGGGTTTGTTGTATTAGTTGTGACACGTTTTAAGTTTGTTTAGTATTGGAGGGGTCGAGCTGGGATTGATTAAGGGGTGGTACTTAATCCGTGCGCATTAGTTGTGACACTGTAACGGTTGCTAAATAATTTACATGCAGTAATTATACTTGGGACAAAGGTTCCTGTCAACAACCATCAGGCACTGTGTCAGAAAGATTGAACTGGATCTACACAAGAAACTTTGTTTGGTTCTGGGACATGAACTACAACAAGCTGACTCATCATAAACAGAAACATGTGAAGAACAAAATATTCACCCCAAAAAATGAAAGGGTGTTTTGTTTTGGCGTTTGTGTTTGAATCCCTTTCCTTTTACCGTTACCTTTGATAATTCTTGGAACTGACCTGTTTGAATTGATTGTATTCATATGGACATTAGATAATTCACCAGACTCCTCAGCAAGATATGTTCACCTGCCAGATGGTTAGGACCTTGTGTGAGAGTGTGTTGGAACAGAGTCAAGAAGCACCAAGCATTATACAGTCTGTAAATTATATATATATATTTTTAAAATAGGACCAAGTTCCCATGCCCTATATGCCCTAATGAGTGTACCAGCGTCAGTTCGTGACCGCAGTCCCATCCGTTCGTGACCGTGGGTTCAGTCTCAGTGAACCAACGAGATGAAGTGCACCAGTCACGAAGAACCAGGGTCGATCATGGCACCCCCCTCTCTGCAGCCTTTTGGGTGACCGTTTCTCAGTGACAGGCAGCTGTGGCCATGCAGTCATCACCTTCAGTTTGCAGAGCACCTTGGCAGCTTATACGAAGCTTGTCAGCCTTTTTGGCTTTCTTGATTTGGAGCAGACAGCCCAGACCTTCAGTGGTTCTTTCCCAGGCACGGAAACACCACAAACAGGCGCTTCATGTTCCGCTTTCGTGAAGCTTTCACTCGGATGAACTTCGTCCCTTGAAAGCGCTTCCAACCCTCGCACCACCTCGCTCGCACCACATCGCTCTCGGGCTTGCCCACCTCTCGCCCCCACCTGGCTGCGGGGAACCCGAAGATTCGCGCGCGGATCCTCAGGTCAGTTCCACCGGTCCATCTGGAAGAGCCTACACCTTCAATCTCACTTGGGTGTCTTTGACCATCGCCAGGTCGGACCGAACTGGAGGGCGGAAAGATGTTGGTGCTGGTGGCCGATGGAGGATGGACTCAACAGTGCAAGTCATTCGAAGTTGGATTCTGTATCAAATCGAGCCATCCAATCTTTCAAATCTCTACTAAGGACACTAAGGAGATGTTACCAGCTCATGCCCCATTCTTTTTTTCCAAAGCACTCTTCAAGGCGGCTCAAAAACTGTACTATTACGTTTTTCTATATTGATGGTGGATATGGTGGACGTGTCGGACGTGTTTTTGTTTTTGTTTTTAATTCAGTTGTACATTGTACAACCCAACTCCCTTTCACCACCATCTCCACATCGTGCGTCGAGAGGTGTGGCCCCTTGACGGCGAATCATCCATTTCCCAGTGGGGACTTCAGATGAGACGAGCAGACGAGCGACGTCCCACGGACGAGCAGACGAGCGACGTCCCAGCCTTCGAATCACCGATCCGGGAGCACATCGTTTTGTTTTAGTTAGGTCAGGTCTTATGTTGCGCAACGTTTGCTTGCTGGTTTGTTTGAAGGGCACTATGATTACAGGTTTTTGTCCGAAATTATCAAACGTAGGTACCTAGGACTTCCTAACTTCCTAGTGATAGTGCGGGTCCCAGCAGCGTCCTCACGCAAATTGGCTGGACCAAGTTCAAGCTGATGGTTTCAATCGCAGTTCTTTGCATTTGGGCGTGTATTAAGATACGGAGACCTCCCAAAGACCCCCAGGACTCTCGCCAAGCTCACCAAATCTGGTGTTGTGAGAGATGGGGATCCCAAATCCGGATCCTTCACCCCTTGTCCCAGATCTTTTTGCCTAACAGCAAGACCCTAAGGCCCAGGCATGGAAAAAGCAATTAAAAGAAGGTTGACCTTATTTTAGTATAGTATCAGTATCACGTTCCTTACTTAATTGTTTGTTCGGTGAAGGCATTCATAAGCTATAGATTAATGGTTGGAAGCCCATACTCGAAGAATGGGTGACATCGCATGGACCCCTTTCCGAATGGCCTTGGTTTCGTTTTGGCACCACGAAAAGATCGCCCAAGTTGTATATGTTTGGACTCCTGAGGCGCTGTTAAAGCCTTAAAGTTGGAATCGGATTCCATCAATCCAAGCCGGAAGCTGTCCTCAGCAAGCCTTCATTTCCAACATCCACCAAACAACGCTCCAGGCAGACCCCGTCCTCAGTTCGGGTTCTGTACGGGAAGCCGCCCCGGTCCTGACCGTCCCGCTTCCTAGGCTTGCACCGCCTGAAGCTGGAAGTGTCGCCCAATGGCGCCCAATGGTTCCTGGCACCGTGACGACCGCCCAGCCGTGACGACCGCGATGGCCAGCGGCGCTTCGCACGCGCATGCTTTCCCACGGTGACGTGGGACAACTCGGTTTGTCCACGGTGCATGCGCTTCGCTTCCGCCCCCAACAGAGGTTTGAAGAAGACACTGTGTGCAGTCGGGTTGTTGGAGTCGGGAGTTCATGTTCGCAAGTACAGGGACCAGCGCGGTCTCCCATGGGCAGAGATCTCACCGGTTTGTCATGTCATGACGAACTGCACATTGTCATTTAAGTAATTACTTCTGCAGGCTATTGCATCAGTTACCTTTTTGGGGGATGCTGTAGCAGGTCAACTTTTTGGGCTGTGGCAGACAGCGACCAGACCAAATATATCGGGATTTGTGGCGCACTGGCGATCTGGGGTCTTCACACCCAGTGAGTGCCATTTCAGAACATGCAAATATTCCAATCTTCCCCACGGTCCTGAAAAAAACACACGTATTCTGACAACACTCCACTTCTCGCCGGACTCAGTTGACGACCCCAGGCGTGCCTTGACGTTGTTTGAGCAGCCGCAGTTTTACAGCATGTCGCCCGGAGACCCGGATTTGGGTCAGACGTGGTCCCCGCTCTTTGCATGTCCGTCCTCGTTCCCACCGGAGAGGTTTGCGATGACCGGGTGAAGAAAGGTTCACCAAGAAGCGACTTCAACACTTGGAAGGTCCGGACATGGTCCGGACGTACGTTGATCAGACTTCTTTTTTTTGGCGGACTTGTTTTGGGTCTACAGTTTCTTCATCCCTCCTTATACATACAATGATGAATGAGTTACTGCCGCATGATGTATACTATAGCACGACTGCAAGATTCATGACTGTCCATCTCACACGTGTTTTGACAGTCATGCCAAACAGCAACTTATCCCTACCATCTATAATTCTATAATCATCATCCATCTAGAGGCCATCGCTACTAGGTTGGAGGCCATCGCTAGTAGGCTGGAGGCCATTACTACTAGTAACAAGAAGCTACTAGTCATTCACTTCTCTACGAATTCTCCCTACCATCTATAAAATAATCTTCTAACTGATGACCTCACGGTTTTTTCCCTGCCATTTGCTGTCAGTGCTCGGAGTTGGAATCGTTTTCCTGAGAGTGACCGACCTTGATCCCCTGGTTGGTTCGTGAAATCTTGGTCATGACGTGAGGACTCCAATTTTAGGTCATGTAGAACTGGTTACCAAGCAACGTCAATGTAGGTTCTTGATGTTTTCTTTTGCTGAAAAACCATGTAGAACTTTTACTTTTCCAAAAGGCATCAATGCTTACAAGCGTATAGTGTCTAAAAATCCACTCACTTGATCTCGTCGTGTACTTTTGGGTGGTTTGCTCACTTTCGACAAATGCCAGGTGAAGTTGCCTCCCTCGTCCACCTTTCCACAAACACGCCTCCACTTGACCCTCCGGTCTCGAGAGCCCCGTTGGAGGCCTCTGCTGGCGGCGCGCGTGTCGCCCCGTTGGATCACCATCCGTGGCATTGGCTTTCCGTGCCTTGGACCGATCTCAACAGACCTGGGAGGTACCTAACCGGTCGCCCTGACAGATGGAGCAGTGATTGACATAGTTGCAGTTGTTGGAGATCCCACAAAGTTTGATCAATTGGGGTTGTTGAAGCTGTCAAGGTACGCAGATGTTGGTCCATTATGCATGGATTGTATATAATCATAGTTATAATCATATATATATATATATATATAAAGGATTTGGATGCTTTCATGTTCACTGGCTTGACTGTTCATGGAATCTTCATGACCTTGGAAGGGTGTTCTGGTCACGCCGTTGGGTGAAACATGGTAAACTATGTAAAACTGACCTCCCACACTCACTGGAAAGATCAACCTCCATTTGCTCTCTCTGAGACACATCTTCAAGCTGGTGATTTCCCAAAGTCATCCAACCACCAAGTCCGAAGCAACCATTTGGGTGTGTAATTTAATAGAGAGACCCCGTGGCGAAATAGTTATATTTGCCTTTTGCCAGGGTCGAACTGGGAAGTCTTACTATTTTATGACTGGGTGGATTATGTTGATCTGCCATTTACTCGGGCCCAGCGGCTGAAAGGTTTCGCATCAGTTTTTTGGGCCGTTTTCGTTGCGCTGAGGAGGGGCATTGGATTGAAGATTCAGGTCTGCAACTCAGCACTTGGCAACCAGAAATAGAGATTTGCTTAGCGTGTGCTGCATATTTGACACTAGTTGTTTGGTGATCAGTTGGGAAGGGAAGGGTGGTCTGCCATGAAAAGATATGAAATGGCTTAAATAGGAAGGTCGATTGGAAGGAAGACCCAGTGGTTTGGGGTTCAGAAAGAACATGAAAGAGCGGAGTTGACCACACCAGACATGCGGGGTGAAGCTTTTGACAAGACGGTCCAAGACACATCAAACCACCAGATCGTATGCGTCAAAACAAACGATCTGCAAGATTTTCTGTTGGGGAAGTCTGTGAATCTCCGGTGCGCTTGCAGCTCAGAAAAGGGGCACCTGATAAGTGGGGGGGTTAGATTTGGGCAGCAGGAGGAGCAGGAGTGTATATCTTTTGATGGAGTGTATTGAGATCCCATATAGGTGCAAAAGGTGATATTGGTACTCCACTCCTTGTCCAAACATGACCGCTATTCCTAGTGAGAGTCTCCTTTCCTTTTTCATCCTTTTCTTTTTGGGACGATACGTATCTTATAAATCTTACTGAGCTTCATGGCTTGCATACAATCAATTCCTTGGAATTCACGCTTGCGCCCCCAAAGGAAAGCGCCCAGCTTTGCCCGAACACTCGTCGGGCCCTGTGCTCTCAGGTGGAGATCGCTCCAGGCTTCGTTCGTCAGGTGCTGGTACCGGCCGCGGCCGGTGCAACGCGTGGTCAGTGTTTGGTGATTCTGTTTTTTTGTGTGTTTGGAAGTCTGTAATGTACCCTGAAAGTCCAAGACATTCCAAGACTAGTCTTTAGGTGCAAAATCTAGTCGAATTGCATATAAGGTGTACAGTGCGCTTTTGCAGATGGTTTTTTGCGGTTTGACAACACATGTCATGAGAGTCACGACTCATGATGTGTCATTTGTTGGGGCGTACGGGAAGGTCTCTTCATTCGATTCACTTACGTCGACAAGGTCTGGTGGAAGATATATATTTGGCGGGCAGCACGTTTGTACCAGAACGCAAGGGGTGTCTTATAAGATAGCCTCTTAGAGGTGATTCGGGGTGTTCAAAAACCGGACTTGGTTTCGGCCCTAGTATAGGGGATTCATGTCCTGCGCAGGACAGGACATGCAAGGAAAGAAGCTTCACGTCGGGCTTTCGTTGAAAAGACTTTCGGGCTCTGGACCGTGGACCGTGGATTCCCAGTCACCGAAAAGAAGGCACCCAAAGCCATGCTGCTCAGTGCTCAGCGCAATGCTCCATGACTGTGCATCTCCAGTCCATGCAGAAAAACATAGAAAAGCAAGATGATTTGTTGCCATTTTGTGAATTCCTTTTATTGTTTTCTTTGCTTCTATTTGCGATGGCCTCCAACCCAAGAGCGATGGCCTCCACCCTGGTAGCGATGGCCTGAACAAAAAGTGTTGAACAGAAGTTCATGTTTCCAAGCGAAAAACGGTTAAACTGCACGGGGTGTGTCCCGAAGAAGATTCCGAAGCACGGCACGGGAGGCGCTTCGGGTGAACAGCACCGCCTTGCGCTTCCGTGCGGCCTCCGGATCCGAAGAAGGAGGGACAGAAGGATGGCACAGGGCCACAGGGAGATGCTTCAGACGGGTGAGACTTGGTGTTGGTCAGATGGTTCAGCATCCGATCCTTGAAGTCATCACGGAAGTCGAAAGCCATTTGTTTGTGGAGGAAAAGGGTCATCCAATGGGGCCATGCCATTTGCTTCCATGATGATTTCAGGGAGTTTCAATCTGAGATCAAGGCGGATACAGGTGGGTTGATTTTTGTACACAACATCACATGTGAGTTCCATGCTGGGATGAAGCTCCAATTGACTCAGAAGCTCCTTGTCCAGGTGATACCATCACAGGTCTTTTAACAAGCTCCAATGAAGGTGTTGGTTTGCCTTCTTGACTGAGTTTGTTCTTTCAGATATTTACTCTTTTAATATTGAATACGTTTAACATTAAGCAAAAATCACCCTACAACGTGCGAAATATACCTTGAACAGACTTAATTTAGATTTCCCATTCAATGCTCTCAAACACACACCACTCCAACCCCGTTTTGGTCTTCGGCCGAGGTTCTCCGCAGTCCTCCTTGGCACTGAACGCCACGATTGCGGTGACCTTCGGTGGAGCGCCGGCCAAGGACACCGGCTTCATCCTCAGGCGGACGTCAGGGCGTTTTTGGGGCCGGCGTCGTCACCGGGGCGTCACCCGGTACCGAAGCTCCTAGCAGTTTCGCCTGGGGGGATGTGGGAAGCAGCAGACATGGGCAAGCAGATGCCGTGTGGTAGATGGAAGTCAAGACCATTTCCAGACCCCCAAATCATCCGGAAGTCAATGGCTTCTTAGCAACGTTCGTAGCGATGCCCTTTGTTTCCGTTCGTAGCGTCCTTGCTACTAGTAGCGATGCCAGGAGTTACTAGTAGCTTCTTGTTCCTAATGGCTTGAAGGTATGAAGTACAGAGGGGGGCGGTGAGTGCGATCCAGGCAGTATTATAGGTCACTAGGTCCCAGTGGTTTCATAGACTTAAACCGTAGACCGAAGACGAAGTCGAAAGCCCCGGTGATTCCAACGACTCGTGGCTGGGATTGCCGTCAGGACCTCTAAAAAGACAACGAGCCAATGGACCGGCTGTTGAGCTGATTTCTTCGGGTGGACTGGTTGAAATCATGAGAATCAACCCTCAGCTCCTTGTCTTTCAGCGACAGAAAGACCTGAGTCGACCCGAGATAGTCGAAACTTCGGCTCAACCCGCCTCACCCGTGTCGCAAACCGCGTGGTGTTCCGCGCCAGCTTGGTGGAGTCTCCCAGCGTCAGCAGCGTGTCGCCACCGGCCATCAGCGTGGGGGAACCACAAAGCGCGGCGCTGAGGGTGTTGGATTGGTGACCAATCGATTCTTTTCGCTTATTTGAAGAAGGTGCCTTCTTATGAGAGTGATGTGCTTCAATGATGGTTTCATGATGGTTTCATATTTTGGAGCTTTGAACGGCCCCCAAACGGGCCGTTCTGCCAAGTCAACTTGACGCTAGACCAAAAACAATCGCCATGTGACATGTGCTTTATTCTGGGCAGGCGGCAGACTGTCCCAGAAAGAGCATGCAAAACATTTCAGCTGCTAAAGCGTTTTCAGAGTCCAAATCCCAGGTCTCTCATTCGGCATCGCATCTCGAGGCATCGATTCGCGTCGGCCCATCAACATCTACGGTCAGAACTTCCGGGCCACGGACGAATGCATCTTCCAGCCAGGGGCCCAGGTACGTCTTATGTGCACCGCCCGCACTTGGTCCGGTGGATCATGTGTTTGAATCAGGCTTTTAGGAACCAACCAAGGCTCAAAGGCATGCAAATCAAGTATCTTCAACTGACCAGCTTAAATCAGCTTTATGTCGTGTTATTGTAGGGAACCAGGTCTCGTGCCAAATGTAACCATGAGCAACAGTTGTTTGATTCTATTGGTATGTGTGACAAGGCACCAACTTGGGCTATTTCAGGGTTCATTGTTCATGTCCAGCCCCAACATTGCCTTGTGTTTGAGACGCACAGTTTGTTAAGTTGCATCATTTGTAAAAGAACCAGCAGCAAAGCCTGCGTTTCATTGCGGTACTACAACAGCTTGGAGGTTGAGGGTGGTGACCACAAGCTCCATTGTCTCCCCTGCTCTACCGCAAAATTGGCCAGTTGCCTTATCACCCCATCCGGTTCATTGCTCAGCCTTGTGATATCTGAGAATCTGTACACGGTGAGATCTTCCGGCACCCCATGCCTTCGTTTTCATCTCCACTCCAAATCTAGTACCTAGTAGCGATGGCCTCCAACCATCTCCAACCTACTTGTGATGGCCTCCACCTAATAGCGTCCTTGTTCCTAGTAGCTGCATTTGTCTCGCCCCAACCCCCATTTCAACGGTACGTGCGTGAACGACAAGGTCTGCCTCGATGGCTCTACCGCAACGGGTTCCTTTGTCCAGTGGGGCAGCCCAGATCGTTGTCGCCGAGAAAACACCCGGGTGGGTGGGTGCACCTTGATGGGAAATTCACCATATATTTATGCTTGTGCTATTGTTGGGTGAACAATCTTGCAGAGACAAACATGACCATGGCTCTTCACCGGCAGAAGATTTGCCTTTGGCATTGATCTACTGTAAGTCAACACTCATCTATGTGTAGCACTCCTGGAAGAAAAACATTTTAGTCACACCCTCCTAGCAGTATTCTATCCTTGCCCTCACATGTTATGGGGCACATATGACTCTCATTTTCATCCACCAAGATTTGAGAATGTTGAGATGGTCACGCAAGGTTTGACACGATTTTTTTTTCTTTACCAAAGCAGTTCGCTCTGACGTCGCTGAGGTTTTATCTCCTCCACGCATGTGCAATGCCGCGCTCCAGGCGAGCGAGTGAGACACGCTGGGTTACAGACGCAACAGCCTTAGTAAACCCTCATTAGACAGGGATTTTCTGCCCAAGAAGTTCTAGGTATAGCTCTTGCTTTTGATGTACCATGATGTATCTGAATGAAACAAGACACAGTGCACCGCCATGCTTGCACTCAGGCGCAGCCTTGTCGGATGCCCTGATTCCGGAAGAGGAACCGGAGGAAGCCGATTCCTGCGAGATCTATGCGCACGGCTGGCATCGTTTTTTGTGTTTCCGCATGCAAGTTGGACCAGTTAATGGGTCTCAGAACCTGTTTGAAGATGGGAAACGCCACATGTTAAGAAGACATGTCTGATGTGAATCACGAATCGCTCAACAGCGGTTCGATGCCGCCGCTTTTATGTCTTTTTTCGTGCCTCATCTCTCAACTTCGCCAGGTCGTTGCAGAGCCAGATCAACACCTTAAGAGATCAAGTGAATGCAATGAAGGCGAAGCGATGCGCTGCGCGGAGCGCGGGTGGCCGAAGCGATTTTTTTGAGAGTCCCGAGGTTCTCCTGGACGGACATGGTCGGAGCTAGGATAAAACAGAAGATGTATTGAACAGTAGCTTCTTGTTCCTAGTAGTGGTCTTATCAAGCCAACTGCTGCGGCTGCTTTAAGACTTAACCTCCATGCTGGTTGCCAAACCTTCATTCATGGAGTTGGGATTGCCGGATAACTCATGAAACGATCAGTGGACATTTGCTGGGTCACTTCAAGTCGGTGTGAACTGGGAACAACCCACAAGACACACCTTCAAACAGATATCAGATATTTGCGTCACCATGTGAGCTCAAAAACAACCCCCTCCCTAAATATGGATGCATCCGGCAGGGTCTAAGAACCACGACCAGGTCGGCCGAGACGTTTTCACGCCCTTCGGACGGTCGACGGACGCAGGTGGGCCTTCTCACGCAGCGCGACAGCGATCGGCCTGGCTGCTTCGGCGGATGTGAGGAGCGGCGCTGTTTTGCTTCGTTGTTTGTGCAGATCAGGTGTGAAAGGGTACACGGAGCATGGATATCTACACAACACGTTACCTGCATTTTGGACCATACAGCCTACTATTAAAACAGAGGTCAAATTGGGTTCTAGGTGGATGTTTAATTAATGATCATGTCTCAGATCATGTATATAATTAGTTGGTTTCACATGTTAAGTGGCTCAGGTGGTTTCACCCATTCAATAGCACGTGGCAAGTGGCAGATGCGACTCTTTCACTCAGAAGCGTCAATTCCAAATATGTTGCGATGTGCTGCGATCTTCACCCCAAAGTGTTAAAGTGTTTACTTGGACATATCAACGGGCGAGTGCTATTTCATTCACCTGGGGTGAGTCACATACCAGTAGTTAAGCCTGCCTGTCGGAGAACAAGTAATTACTATACGGTCCTTTATGGGGTCACGTCACTGTCCCATTTTCTAGGGTACTCGAAGTCGGGTCTAGGCTTTCAACAGCATCCCTTTCCTTTTTCTCAAAAAGCAGAAATGGTAAGCGCCGAAACAACCCTGCGCCGTTGTCAGGAGATGAATCTGAGCTTCTTCAATGGAACCCTGCTGCCTTGGTTTTCTGAAGTGGAAGGACCTGCACATCACGCAGATATGCCATTTCATCTCAATCGAAGGCCCCTCCAGGCAGTTGACTGCATGCCAGATCAGGGAGAAAAACAAAGAAAAGCAAAACACCAATGATAAGAACAAAACGCCGATGAAAGTTCCTTTTCTTCAATCCCTTTCTGTGCCGCTTTGCTTTGAGTCCCAGTCCGAGCCTCGCGGACGTCACCAGGAGACCCCAACCAAACGGCGGTCAACGTCACAGACTGGAACGACAATGACTCGAACGGCACTGAACTCGAGGCGTCCAAGCGCAGCGGAGTTGACCCGCGTCCCTTTGTTCGAGTGGAACTTCTTCTTTGACGAAAGGACTCATTCAAATCAGATCTCATTCAACGAATTGCTGGCTGTGGACATTTTCGGCCAGCCCCCCAGACAGCCAGGCGGACACCAGCCAGGCCTTCATTCTGCCGCCTCCAAGCGCGGAGCAGGTCCGGACGACCGGTGCGCTCCGCAGGTCCGTACCTCTACGTGTGGAAGAAACCAACAATCACCAACATCATTGTTCGTGTCCTTGTGCCCAAGAGTTGTGTTGAGGGGGGTTTTTCAGGATGTTTTGGTTCATCGTGTTTTTGGCAGGTCACAATGACTCGAAACGACCATCCATGGGACTGGAATCTCAGCCGCCCCAAAGACCCTGAAATCAGCCATCCCAATAGGTCAATAGGCCAGTCTGATGGATGTTGGGATGGGACTGCTGTGGTTGGCCTTCTTCGGGTTTCTCAAGCCGGTCAATACTAACTGCTATTGGCGTTTTCTTGGGGCTATCTTCACCATCCTGAAGAGGAACTCATTTTGTCCATTATTTACTCATGCCTGATATGCTATGCCTACATGATCTCGGACATATTTCCATGTAGGCAAATGTTTAATACATGGAGTGTTTGGAGATTGTCACCCAGTAAGTGCCTCCCCAGAATTCCAACAGAGCCTTCGACGCTTTTGCTGTCGGTCACGTGACCCGCCAAGTTCGGCACCCGACAAAAACCGGCATCTGCCACGGCATGCGCCAGTCTGTCAGGGTCATTCATTCTTAGTTATCAACATGCGTGGGAATTGGAAGGTGGCCATCTTCCAGTTCTGGCACATCTGTATTGAGAGCCTTGTGCCCATGTGCCGGCGATGTTTTCCTGTTTTTGTTTGGATGCAGGTGGCCTTGGAAGCGCAGACGGAGCTCTTGATCTTCCAGGCACACGAAACGGAGCGACGTCCCCAAGCCCATTGAAACTGCCTCCCGTTTTCTTGAAAACCCATCAACGTGTGGTTTGAAAACCAAGACATCCATTGACATCCATCGGAAGGCTCTTCAAGTCACGAAGTTTTTGTAGATTGTTTAGTGGCTCTTGTGGAAAAGTCATGGTATTCTTTGTTACAAATTATTGACGCTTTTGGTGGAACTGCTGAATTGCCAACAAACTAGTGAATTCCCAACATCCTGGTGCACTGGAGAATACAGATTGCTGAATCGGGCATATGCCCGGCATGGCTATGGCCTTTCTGAGCACCAAGCGAGGCTGGCGTGGAGTACTTGAAATGCGTGGCACAGCAAGCGAAGCCCGTGGTCAGTCAGGCGGTGGCACCTGCGGCGAGAGATGGTGAGAGAGATCCAGAGAGAGAGAGAGAGAGGGGTGAGTGTGGCAGTCGATTGGTTAAGACGGGTGTTTGAAACAAGCGCAACACTCAGCACTTGTACTGAAAGGGCAGTCCGAGATGATCGGTTGTAAGGAAGTTTCGTAGATTTGAGGAGCGATGTTGCCTGGAGCAGAGTATTTCTGAGAAGCATGAGGGCTCACTGTGATGTTGATTGCGTTGATTGCTGGCAATATCAAGAAGTGAAGAAAGTACCAAATGGATCGAACAATATCAGGCAAGTTTGTACCTGTGACTCCCATATATATATATAATATATACACCTGTTTGTTTGACATTAGCAATGGCAATGATATAGATGGTTCCCTCAACTTTGGGTTCAACATGGTTCAACCTTTTCATCAAAAAAACATGGGTCACCCCCCAAGTCCATTGCCTCCCCTGGAGTAGCTAGTTGGCCCAGAAAACTCAGGCCGTCCGTGTTTCCCCACGGATCATTCCTGGTCAGACATATCTTCCTCCCAAACTGCCCGTGGTTTTCAAATCACCGGAACCGCAACTCTTCAGTTCATGACCTTGGAGTTGCCGACTCAGTAACCTTAAACTGAGACAAATGCCCAAACTGGATATCAAAGACATCACACATATCGGACGCAAATCGGTCCCAACATCATGTGTCGTCATGTGTGTAGCAAAAGCAAAACATTTGCGTTTTTCGCCTCAGGCCAGAGCTTTGGGCGGCTTCCTTTTGGCCAAGGTTTGGACACCTGACCTTTTGGACCAGCAACCCAGCGCCCTTGGGGAGGCGAGCGTTTGGGCCGGATGGGAGCCGGAGGCGGATGGGGCCCCGTTGAACGTTTGGGGGTCTGTTGTTCGAAACACCAGGACCAGGGTATCGTTTCCACCCATGCCAGAAACCATAAGGTGATCAGGAATAGAACGATGTTTTGGTTCCTGAAACCTTCCATGTTTTCGGGAGGTTGAACGCATATAGATTCTTCCTTTTGGATCCTTTCAGAAGCTGACCTTTTGAACCCTATTTTCACTGGATGTCTTCCGCCAGTCGCCCGCCCGGTCACCAAGTCCCTCCGGAGTCCTTCGTGTCCCGGTCAGGCGGAGTCCTTCCCGGTGCGGCTGCTGCCGCGCCTGGGGATTTCCTTCGTGTTGCCGGACTCGGGCCCTGTGACCGGAGGCGTGGAGTAGCGGGCGGGTGGCGGAGGGAGGAGGAGAGGTTCTGAACGGAGGAGAGGTGCACGAGAAGCATATTTCTTAGAAATGGAGATCATTGATGTGGAATTCGCGCGGATCTTTGGGTGGTTTGAGAGTTGCAGAGGAACAGGATACCTGACCTGGAAGAGGGTTCTTATGGCCTTTGGTTTCTCTGAGGGTTCACTCGTCAAATGCAGATCCCAGACAATCCCATGGAACAGGTGTGTTCACATTAGGGTCATCACATACCAAATGGGGCGGCTTGACCGGTGCTTGTTGGTAAATCGTCCAGTCCCATGGATGGTTGGGGTGTATCGGGTGTATCTTGTGATGTTTTCAGCTCTGTAGAACACCTTCGCATACCAAAGCAGCGGCCCCAAGAGTCGATCATAGTCGATGTGCAATCGCTCCATGAGAAACTGCGCGACAGGTGCTGTGTCGCGGATTTTTTTTTTTTGAAGGGGAATGCCTTTGTTGGTTTGCCTCTTGCAGTATGGGGATTGACAGTGTTGCAGGGGGGGTATGGTTTTCCTTTGGTGTGTGTGTGTGTGTGTCACACTCTATTTCCAAGGGTCACCAACAGGTTTTGCATCTAATTCAAGCAGGGGCGTGTGGCACTCTCGTCCTACCACAAACAACGAAGCTGCGGATGAGAGTGGGAAGCAGGGACTGATCATCCCTGTGCACCATGCGATTGAATTTCTTTCCTTTCCTTGCCGGTGATTCTATAGAGCTCAAGCTGTTCTCATCCGGTGTTGCACACTGAGGAGCTGAGGTAAAGTGCTCATGCACTGGGAAATCATCAACTGAACGAATGCTCATTCAGTTGAGCAGTGCATCTAGGTGTACATGATGTTCATCATCGTGATTGATGAGAATCTGTTGTTCTCATCTACGTAGCGAAGACGGACAACTGGGTCGCTTACTAGCGATGGCCTCCAAGCTAATAGCGATGGCCTCCAACCTACTCGCGATGGCCTCCAACCCAAAAGCGATGGCCTCCAACCTACTAGCTTACTAGCGATAGCCTCAACCTAAGAGCCATGGCCTCCAACCTACTAGCGATGACCTCCGAGCGTTGGCCTGCTATATGGTGTTTTTCTATGTTTGTTTGTTGGGTGGAACGATCGTCAAAATTTTGAAATTTATCCTAGATCCCAGTCTGGTGACAGCCGCAGTCCCGGCGGGGTCGATACATTCAGGCTTCCCAGAAAGTTATCCGGACAGTTTGTTTTTCTTGCTGAACTACCCTGGCCTGGTAGTGAAGGATGACTCCCAAGTGGGCTAGTTCATGAGTCAAGACGGAAGTTCTGGGTATAATGGTCCCAAAGGGAGCACTAAGAGTGGATCCGGTCTAGCCATCACAAGAGCAGATCTCTGACATCGCATGACGAACGCAGTCAACACTTGGACGTCCACAACACCGGACACACCAGGCACTCTCATTGCGGTGGCTGGCAATGGCTTCACACAGCAAGGGCAACTGCGAGAACCTCATCCGTTCCGATCCAGACCTGGTTTTGCGGAATAGCCATATGGGTGAATCCATTTCATGGTAAATGTTTATGTGTTTTTTCCCGGTTCATGGACAGCAAATTGCAAGCCTGGCTTGGTCGGTTTCTTGGATTCTGACGTTCGCTTTCTTAGGATGGAACACGAGCTGGCTGGCTGGTCACGTTCACCTGTCGGAACGCCCTCCGTGTGGATTGGGTCGTTGTTTTTGCTTTTCATCTTTCGCGGAAAGAACGCAACTCAGGTCATGCGCCTTTGTGGGGGGCCTTCAGACGATGAAGTTGGAGGGGATCCGTGTGTTCTTGGCCACTTCTCAGTGGCCAAGACCAGTCAAGGAACGGAAAATCCAGGAAAGCTGTAGTTGCTTCAACAGAAAAGAACACTGCGTTGGAAGTAATCTGGTGGATATGTTTGTTTGAGAGGAAGATACACAGGATGTGTATTCGGTGATGACATGTTGCATGTACACTCTGTACACTCTAGAGTTGCTACTGGGATCGCTGGTTCTCAAACATGCTAAGAGGATCACATAGAATCACGGATCACTGGGCAAAATGCATGAACCTTCTGGAGGAACCCTGCTTAATTTCCAGACAGTTTCTCTTTGTCATGACGCTGTGGGGTTTGGGGAAGAGGTTCCTTTTGTCTCAATGTGAAGTGCAAGTGAAGGATGAGTTGGTGAAACATGAAGAGTCAATGATTTCTAGTTCAAGCTTCGAAACATGATGTATGGTGCATACAAGCAAAGATACAAGAAGCAAGCACAGACCAGCCATCACAAACCCTAGCAAATGCATGTTGCTTGTGTCCTGGCTGTTCTACCACCTTTGATCCACCCAACAGGCGACATCACCCGCTCCTCACCCGCTTCGTCTCGTCTTCCGGGGCGAAGCCTGGGTCTTCTCAGCTCGAGGATGAGAATCTCTACATGCCCGCACGGTTTTTCAACGAGACCTTGATCTACTGCCGGGAACCAAGCCGGTCGGTCATCAGCTCATCAGCTTTTGGGGGACGGGCCCGGGGGGCACCGCGTGGTTTCAAGGAGTGTTTCAAGGCATCGAGGGCCGGGCAGGTCGCGAGGTGGGAGCTTGGGAGTGGTGATGTTAAAGCCCACCAATTCCAGTTCACTGGACAGGAGCTGGATACTGTGTCAGAAATCGTAAGCAAATTGGCCTTTTCAGGCTGCTGTGCTTGTCTCCTTCAGTCGGAATTTGTCCCTCCGCCCAAAAGAGTCGTGGTAGCTAGTGGTGGCTGAAGACTCCCAGGTTGGGTAAGTCATGAGTCAAAACCGAAGTTCTGGGTAATGCGATGCGCCCCAGCTTAATGTGTCCCTTGTGCTCATGGACAGCGAAACAACATCAATACAGATACATCAATATTGTTCAAGTCAGTACAGTATGCCATACACTCCCCAAGTGCCTAGCACGAACCACTCAGAAAACCCCAAGATCGTGCCCATTGTCCTGCCCCGATTTGTACGGAACGTGCTGTGTATGTTGCGAAGGGTGGTTCAGAAGATGTTCATTATATTCCCTTGTGAGTGATTTGTCCCAAGAGCATGTTTATGAGGTTCAAGGCACACAAACTGTTGATCGAGAAAATGTTGGTTCTGGAGAACTTGGGCGAGCGAGTCCTTCTACTCTTTGGTAGGTTCTGGTATTCTGGTAAGAGAGGAAGTTGTCATGCAGTTGTTCATCCATCCAGAAGTGCCACATGCTCGTGATATCTCGTGACGCTGCGCGTGTGCGTAGGTACAACGCCCGCATATCATCCAGCAGGTTTCCCGCGCGGTGTGTGAGAGCTTGACTTGATGAGTCGTGCATTTATAACTTTACATATAATTATCGAATCCGCTATGCCCGTTACTGTCTCATAGAAAGCCTCCCACTACTAAACAGATGATGAATGAGGCAGGATAGTTGTGTCATGTTGTGTCAATTCGGACATGATCTTGAGATCAACGGAATGAAGACAGGGCAATAGCTTTGGACTACGGGACAATTTCAACAGGCGCTATTTTTGAATTGAATCTTGCCCTTATGTGTTTCAGGTGGGGAATCGGCATGAACTATTCGAACTGCTTTCTAGAAAGTTAGAACATAGAACTCGTAGAACCGTTTAAACTTTGGCAATCCAGCTGGTTCATTATGTTTATTTCCATAATTTTGATCAACCAGATTAACCAGATGCATGATGCTTGCACTCAGCAAACACCTGCGGACCTAGAGCTTTGTCCCTCTGTCCCCGCAATACTTTCCAACAACTACTGTCCAAGTTGTCACACGCACACATACTAGTAACAAGAACGCTATTAGGTGGAGGCCATCGCAAGTTGGTTGGAGGCCCTCTCTACTAGGAACAAGAAGCTACGAACGTCACATTCTCTATCTTTCTCTTTCCGGATGCAGGTTCCCAAGTCCCTCATGAACGTTGCTTTCACCCTCCCCACCTTTCAGTCTTTGCCCGCAGACCGTCGCGGGGTCACGTCCGGCCCGTTCGGTCACGGTCGCCAGGCGTGGCCAAGCTGAACGTCGCCAGCTGGGCTCACGAGTCACCGGACGCCCAACTCGGACGATGCTTCGGTGGCGTTCGGTCGGTCGGTGGTCGCTGCACGACTGGGCGATTTGGGCGGTTTTGGGGGGCCAACCGAGCGCAGCGCACAGGTTGGGATCGCAGCGTGTTGTGAAGGGGCGACCTCCGCAGTATGGGCGTGAGGGGTGAGAATCACTCTATATTCACACTCTTTTGGAGAAAGGTCTCATAATGAATTCCCATATATATTAATTATATACCTACAACCATAATCATCCACTGGACCTGGATGATATATACCCCAAACCAGAGACCAGAGTGGTCTAAGGCTTGGACCAAGTTTGGGGCAGGAAGATATTTCTGTGTGCGACGCCCAGGTTGTCAGTGACCCACGTGGACTTTACCTTTTATCCAGAGCCCGGGCACCCAGTGCCCGCGCCCGACGGGGGGCGGTGTCAGGTTCCAAAAGGCCCGCGGGTGCGCCGTTGGAAGCGGCGCTGCTGTTTGTCAATGTCAAGGCAGTTTTTTGGGGTTCCAAGAGTTTGAAGCTTCTTCGATCCTTTTTCTGGCGGACTAGGAGCAAGGACGCTACTAGGGGCGGGGTCAGGGTGACGTTACAAGGACAAGCTCGATGAAGAATGTGAGAGAGTATTAAACAATATTAAATATATAGACATTATTTGCAGGTCCGTTTTCTGGAAGCATGCTCAATCCCTGTAAAACGATGAAGACGAAAAAACAAAAAGATAACCCCCGATGACTCTTGTGGAAAGCCCTGGACATGCGAGAAGTGGTGTGAAGAAAACGCGTGCACACGCACACAAACAGAAAACCTACTGCTGTTCCAAATTGTCAGGGTCAATGCATGACTGCTCTTGGTGGGTATGTGCTTGGACAGGGGTTTGTGCTACAGCATTGTTGTGCCACATGGTTTTCCAACTCGCACCAGGCATGAACACGATAACACAGCGAACCTAAATCACCTTTCCGTAGGCAGGCCACCACATGGGTGTAGTTGGAATGAAGTGTGCCTAATGTGTTCATGCCTGCAAGGTTCCACAAACCACATGGATTTAGTGCACAAATTAGTCAAAGTGCTGTAAAATGATAAGGAAGAAAAATAACGACAACGTCAAAAGTGGTATAGGGCCAGGGTAGAGGGGTTTTTACACAACCCCATGCATGTCATATACATGTGCATACATATGGCCGTTGGTATATGGGCCGGTCCTTCAGGCTCGTTCGATTGCTCAATGCAACCCATTTTCAGGCGGATCGGTTTACCACTTTGAAGGTGGATTGCCGCAGGTGATGGACGACTGCGCTGCTTTTTGGACAGCACCTGCGCCCCAGTATGTCCCAGTATGTCCCACTGAGCTCCGGACGACGACCCATGGACCTGACCCAGGACCTTAGAACGACATAACATGACCCCTTTAAAGGTGGACTTAGAATGACTTGTACCATCTTGATTGATAACCTTTGCCCATATGAAGAGGCTGGTTCCATTCAAAGGGAGAGAGTTTATGAATCAAGAGATCTACCTAGCGCTTCCTGTCGGGGTGCCCTGTTTGGAGACCTGTTTACGTAGTGTGGAGATGTCCAGCCACGTGACCCCGAACGGAAGCAGCTGGTACATTGCCAGAGCCTTCTGAGTTGCGAACGGGTCGACTCCAGAAATCCTCCCCACCTCGGCTAGTCCGCCGAGACCTCCTCGTTGCAGGTGGACCTTCTCTCTCCAAGAGGCTCACCCGTGCTTCTGAAAATGCCACCGGCGTTTCGATGTGATACGCCAAAACGTCGGAATGGGGAGTCAGGGAGGGGCCTTCCACCGTTTCCAATCGTTTCTTTTTTTGTCCTGTGTTTGGTTCGCACACAAACCCACCGGTTAGTTCTCAGCTCTCTGGTGCGGAGGCAAGCTGAGAAAAACACCGTCTAGAAAGTCTGTCACAGTCACTTCCAGACCTCGGTCATCCGAAAGCGCTTTTCTTGTTCGGTCGTTTTGAAGGATTGGAGTACTGGAAGCGCTTGGGGTTTGAAGACATCCAGCGTAGAGACAGAAGTCCACGGCCAATTCCATGCCCCAAGAAAACATTAGCATTGAGGGGTCCAGAGAGAATTTGGGCCACCCAGTGGAGAAGTGTGAACTCTAACCCTTCGGAGCGGTGTTTGGAGAAAAGAGAAGCTCGGCACAGAAGACGACGTGCTCAAACACTGGCCAAAATGGTATCGAAAACCAACCGCCGGACCCTCCAACACCTGAAGATGGGCCATCATACCTGTGGCATCCTGTGACTTTTTTGAGAAACAGGGGTCCCAGATGCAGCAGAGCCTTCTCTTGGACGGGCAAGATGCGGCATGCGGCATGTGTTGATTGCTGTTTTATGACATTGTTTTTTGTGTTTTCGGTGTGTGGAACCCTTCAATCTTCCACTGCTTGGAGCCCAGACGTCCGAATCTAACCTTGCGGATGCAGGACAAAAAAACAGACAAGCAACTGCAACGTGGATCTTCATATCATCATATTATCACAAACGTGGAAGCAAGGCAGAACATTTGCATAGTAGATCAATTCTCTTTTCACATCCACCTCCACATGAGGACAGGATTCGACATGAGGAACTGGAGATTTGCTCCACAAGTCCAAAACTCGGTGAGTTGCGGGGCCTCAAAACAGCTGCTTCACCGTCCAAACCCTTCTTCACCCGCCAGGAGGCGGCCTGCTTCGCGGGAGCTCGTGGGGATCGTGTGGTGCTCCATGCTTCCGAGGCAGCAGGGAGCGGCTGCACCGTCACGCCAAAGCAGTATCTTTCGATGGACCAAAGCACAATCTACCCTACAAAGGAAATTGGGGTAAGCCAGTCTCAGTGCAAAGATGGAGGCTTCCCGTGGTGTCGGATTTTGACTAGACGGTGATTCGTGGAGGCTCCCTGCAGCTTCCCTTCCAGACTGATTCACCCCGAAGCCGGAGTCCGGAGCGAATCTGTTTTCAACAAAAAGGGGAACCATACATGCTGAGGGTGTTCTTCTTCAGACATCTCAGATAAATTGATTTGTTGAACTGCGTTCTTCTGTGGACATTGGTGCCAAGAAATGTCACACTATGACAGTCTGCTGCCATGGGCCGAGAGGGACGGTTTTTTTCACACCGAGCGTCGGCGTTCTTCCAGGCGGATTTCATGCAGTGGCGCTATTCGGTCTACAAGGCTCAATGCTTGTTCACTACGGCTCCTTGGACAAGAGCTGAGAGCCTGCTCCTAGTAGTAATGCCAGGAGCTACTAGTAATTACTAGTAGCTTCTTGCTACGTTCGTAGCGATGCCCTTTGTGCTTCTCACTGGGAGTTCTGGTCGATTCGAGCTGTAAAAGCCACGTTGCACCGCTGCCTGTCCGCCTTCCGCGCACGCCCGACTTGGCTCACCCTGAGGTTGGACCGCCCATGAGGGTCTTCGATGCAGAGGTTCGATGCGAACTGGACGATGGACTCACGTTTCTCTTTTTGACTGATCCTGGAACTGGGTGCTGTTTGATCATCATGGCCCATCATTGATGAATGCCTAAACATGTTCCGCAAACCTGAAAACAGAAGGACCACTTAAAACATGAAAAGCAACATGATACACATCATTAAAACCTTCATCGAAGTATATCAAAGTCTTTTACTACTAGTAACAAGAAGCTACTAGGGGCTCCTGGCCTTACTACGGAGCAAGGACACTACGAACGGGGCTCCTGGCATCGCTACAAACGGAGCATTCGGTGTCACGAAGTCGTCCCGTTCGTCACCGCCGGTTGCGGCCGTCAGGCGACGATCTATGCCTGGAACAGCACCATGCGAGTCATGTGTGCCGCGGCACAAGGACCGAGACTCCAGGACGGATGGGAGACGTGGTCGCCAATGCATGTACTAGTCATAGACACAGCTGGGTTCGCCCAGTTTGGGTTTTGATACAGCTTCATCAGTTCACCGAACGAACTGGAGTCCCATCCACCCTTCACTGGCTCAAACTGACCTCACAATAGCTGAAAAGGACAGCACCATCTCTTGGACGAAGGCGCGAAACCATGGTGTCCATCACCTGTCTTTGACTGGGTTCGGACAGGGTGTCGTCCTCCATCCGTCCAAATCCGTGCGGACAGGGCGTGGTGTTCTGCACGGACGGACGTCGTCCCCGCGCGAACCAAAAGAAGATCTCACCCCCCAAAGCCACTTGCGAACTGTCTGACGCTTCGCCCCTCAAAGCCCTTCCACATAGGTGGGGTGCTTGAAGGTATATAGAGATATCCACATGAGGAAACAATAGGAAACATGTACTGTATAGCTAATCGAATTAACGCGATACAGCACTATACACATGATATGACACACACGTATCGCAAACGTGCCATCCTAACCTTGCGCGCTCAGTCCACGAACGAGATTTTGGCAATCGAGTGTTTGGTGCGTATGCATTTCTTAATGCGTTGGTAGAGGCCACTACGCTTTTTGAATGGAATTTTATCATATGGCGGGATCAAAGGTGATTGATGAGACACTACTACTGGTATTTCCAAGCGTACATGATGCGAATAGCATTGGTTGGGCAAGGAAGAATAGTCTCGAATGGTCTCAAGCAACTTTAATGGATCAGGAAGCATCGGGCGTGAAGTCATCCCCCCCCACCAAACTTTTGGTGAAATCCTAGGCGAATCAACGAGGATGCACCAGTTGTTTTGTATTTTGGAAAGAGGGGTTGCTGGCAGAGTGTATTATCAAGATAATTGACCACTGCTCGGAGCGCATTAGCCTGATGCCACAGGTTACGGCTTTCTTTATTAAGATCTCTTCCCCCCAAAAGAGGTGGGTGCAGTGAACGACTGGAACGGTGACTTTGAGCGAAGGGCCTCCCTGTGGAAGCAACGCACGGGCATGAAAAAGGGTTCCAGAGACAAGGAACAGGTGTAAAGATGCCCTATTTGAGAGCACTGAGAGCACATCACTGTGCCAAATGTCTAACTTGGCTGGTTTGAAAGATGAATAGGCAAGAGTTCTGCACAAGTTGGAAGATCCCGCTATGGCAACTAGTTATATGGTCATACACAAGCTGGACTGGCGATATGGCCTCATAGACAATCTGACCAGATAGAATATGGCCAATATGGTCCAACCCAACATGGTGTCTTCCAAATTGACTAGGTTGGAGACCATCGCTACTAGGCTGGAGGCCATCCCTACTAGTAGCAAGAAGTGTATGACTACTAGTAGCATCTAGTAGCTAGAAGCTGCTAGTTAAAGACAAAGGAAGAGAGAGAGAGAGATCCGGAACAGGAACTCAAGAACCAGTTTCTTCCAAGTAGTGACCCCGACATCGGGGCGATGGCTTCGGGATCTCCACGAGGTCACTGGGATCTCAACGACCAGGAACCAGCAGTCCTGTCGTTCCAAAAGAAATGGCTTTTTAGTCCTGTCCAGGGGCCGTGGATGTGACAGGAGCACCACAAAAAAACGCCTACCCTTACATGGAAATGCTTGGTATTGGATGGCATTGAAGGGGTGCTCCTGTCACATCGACCCACCGTCTGGGACTAACATCATCTAAACACTATTCCTTTCCCGTACGTCCAGTCTGGCCTGTCGGTCCAAACCAAGCCTCCAGTCTGTATCCTTGAGTAGTGTGGAAATGACAGACTCCAGTAAAATAAGGTCTTTGACTTGTAGGGGTTTGGAACTGTTCGAGCCGCCCCGAGGCCCTTGCCCCGCGCTGTCCTTGGGTGAGAGTCTCATCAGTGTCGCGGAGCTGCATCAGCGTGGGACTGTTGCGGCGTGTGATGCCGGAATTCCCAAGCACAGGAGCCAAAAATCAGGTGTTTTGTTTCATGTTGACTGATAAATGAATCATAGATTGTCAAGTGAGATGTTAGAAGCGCCACCGGAGTGGGTATTGATTCATCAAGCGTTTTCATGGAGTCACCAGTGTCGAACATGTTTGGCTCATCAGTCGCTCAGCAGCTGGCTGGCCTTTTTCCCCAGCTGCGCAGCAGCTTCCTCTGAACTGGACAACAGCAGCCTCTTCCGCAGCAGTCGACCTAAGGAATCCCTCAATGTGTCGATCTCCTTGGATGGCAAAGCCACCATCATCGATGTGCTTGGTGAAGAACCTCAGGATGGGGCAGAGGAATGGCTGGGGACTCCTGCTTTGAGGACGCTATGACTTGAGTGGATGGCCTTGTTTGGACGTAGCATCTCCTAGCTGTGGCACCGACCAAGGCCATGTCGATTTGATACTCTCCCGACCAAACAATACGACCCAGACACTCCATGAAGGTAAATGCGCCATACATGAAGTGTTGGGGTGATAATATTTCAACTATGCATTGTGGCAATATGATCAACACAGTGATCAACACATATAAACACACTGATGTCTTGTGGCTTTGCGACCCCATCGGAGGGTTCCATTGAGAGCTAGCTTAGCTGCTGGCTGTTGCCAGCTAGCTTCACTGCTGGGGAAATTTGGGGAATGATAGTGTCGACTGAGGCATCCTCCATTGAACCAAGTCACCAATCAGAGATCTCTTTCCCTATGGATCGCCAAACAAACGCGGGTCAAGCCAGAACTCAAGAAACCCATGTTATATAGATTTTATTGTTATTATATGGTTTTGATATGTTGCACATTCTTTGCCCCCCCAGACTCTGTTGTTCATGTTTCCATGGTGATGCTCTTTTGGGTGACTCTGAACAAATTGCAGCTGTCTGACACGTTTCAGACTCCTGTGTGACAGCGAAACGTGGCGAAGGCTTCGGTCCTCCGTCTTTTGGACGAGCTCACATGGGCCGTGTAAGCTGATGGGTCGTTGTTTTTCTTTTTTCCAGTGTTCCGTCTTCTTGATCAGACTGAAAACGAAGACCATCCAAGACCATCCATCGGGTGAAGTTTGAAGATGACGATTCTCCAAGGAGTGTCATGAAGCAAGTTCTTTCGATGGTATTGCTTCATTCATTTGCGGCGTTTGTTGCATGGAAAAGAACCTGACAAATATCTAGGGCTTGTCCTATTACCTGTAACAGTCAGTAAACTAACCATCATCATCCACTGTTACAGCTAATAGGACAGATCCAACAAATATCATTGATGGCACATCCCCAAAAAACCTCCAGTCGTACCTCCTCAGGTTCACGCACCCCAGTCCCACCGAGACGCCCACACGGGTCCCCACGGGTCCCCGAGGTCCGCTGGTGCAGATTCTGAAGTCACCCGAAGTGCATCACACGGTGCCGCAGCGCAGAGGACGAAACTGGTGAAGTCAAATGGTGAAGTAGAATGGAGGGTCAAGATTGTTCATCTGAAAACATCGAAACAAACAAAGATATGCAACTGAACCATATGCAATAAGGTGCAAACATATGCTATAATCTTATGCAACCATAGTCACGACAATGCAATATGCATACGGTACAATACACATGTTGGGCATCCTTGGTGGGGCGTTGTTCTAGTGTCATGGACATTGTCTTAGATTAAAAGAACAGTGGAGATTGAGCCTTTCTTTCATGAGAGGGTTGATACTGCTTGGTGAGTTAGGATCTTTATATAGTTGATGTTTCTAGGTTCATCAACTTGGAGTTCGTGTGGTCTTGTCGCGGAAATGATCAACTCTTTGAGGAAGGGGAGTAGGTCTGACCAAGCGGCTCCTCCAATTCCTGCAGAAGCAAAACTTAAGTCCTTTACCACCGCGTTTGCGCAACCAGATGGACCTGCGTAAGATCATTGATGACTGGCTGGGTGACAGTATGTTCAATTCAGGAATTGGCCCAGGAGGCCGTGGTCGGTTGAGCCTTCTGCTTTGTGTTGCCCAGTGGCTGCTATGGTTGATGTTCTTCTTTGAACTTTGACCCCGCTTGGTCTTCGTGATCCCATGTGGCAAAGAACAGACCATGCAGGTCAAGGACCTCATTCCAAACCGGTCATTTTTCTTCGGCTGCACCGTCGCTTTTCATCGACCCGTGGTCTCGCTTTTCGTCTTTTTCGTCTGTCGCGGGGGTCGACTGCGAGGCTCCACAGGTATGGACCTTGGGGAGAGATTTGGACCTGGTGATCCAGGGCGCCCACTTCCCCTTGGAGGCACACGTCGTCCGCGCTCCGCGCGTGAAGACGCAAGGCGCGCTTTCGCGCGCGAACTCGCGAACGGGTCGTCGTCGGTCTGAGGACATCCGAGGTTGTAGTCGCGGTCAGTGGCCAAACGACAGCAACAGTTCTCATACCTCAGACATCATAGGCGTTTGGGATGGTGTTTTTGGATCAAGTCTTGATCGGCTCTTCAGTTCTTGAAAGCGGTTCATGTATGAAGTCTAGCCGGTGTTCACTCCAGCTGGCGGGCGTTCGCTTGCGGACCAGGTTGAAATGGCCTGCCTTCTCTTTGACCAGAGCGTCCGAGGCAGACTACAGGGGAATGGAAAAGGGGCTGATCCCTGGCTGGGTTTGATTGAGACAAGTGATGAAAAGCAGGGTGAGTTAGCTCACAGAGTTTGGCTCTTTCAGTTGGCGAGCTTCCGACAGAATCATGTCATCAGACCAATTCTTGCAGGACAAGTGTTTTTTGGTGTTCGAAGACGGTAGATGATCTGGTTACTAGTTGAAAAAGGCAGCAGAACTGGTACAAACATGTACAGACTGAACCTGTTTCTTCATAGTGTCACAAAGTGTCCCTTTGATATCCGAAGGTTGAGGTCACAAAAGGGCCTGTCAAAGGTCACAAACAGGGACTGTCACTTTGAAGAAGCATGAATTCAAAGCCGGATGGAATTGCCGACGTGTGTCTCCACCCAGACGCAAGCTTTCCACCAGCTAGGTCCAATCCAAAGCGCTGGATGCGCATCCCATTGGTGAAGTTGTTGGAAGATAAAAGAGGTCATATATATATATATAAAATATAAATATAGTGTACAAAGAATATAGGTCAGACATAAGAACGAAAGGTGATCTTCTTCATTGCTTTGTGCGGGCGAAAGTTTTGTGTCAACTGAAAATCTCTCCGGGTGAAAAGCTCTCTCCCCACGGTCGCCGGAGGCTATGCTTTTGAGTCCTTCCACATGCGGCAAGACAGCATGTGGCGCGGCCTGATCGAGGTGCACGGCGTTCTTCGAAAGGGCGGCATCAGCGGGGCATCACCACAACCGGATTCAACCGCAGTCATGGGTAACACGTGGGTACAGTACACAATGTCATTTCCCCAACAGGGCATACACGTGATATGAAGTGATCAGTGAAGTGATCAGCATTCCTTTCCCACCTAAAAGAAGGACCCCAAACGAGGTTCGCAGTGGTGGTCTCGGAGTTTTTGGGCGCATTCCTCAGGAAACATGCTCAAATCTTTTGAGGGTCAAGAAGGTTTTTCTCCCAATCTCCCGAAATTTGCCCACCATATTAGATGAGTTATGGGTTTGAATCCTTGTAACAACTGCTGTTTGAGCTGGCAAGACCACCAATTGAATCTTCTTGCGCCAGGGAAAAGGGACGTACGACGTACGAACCATTGCGATTCCGCAGAGGGGAGGGACATTTTGCCAGGATAGTTGTCCAGAAGTGCCTGTCGCCGAGTACACACACCAGTGGTCGCTTCCTTAGAGCGCAGGAGTTCCTTCTCGATTCTCTCACGATGTTCCGGCGATACTGTGAGGATTGCTCGTTAAACAGCTTACACTCAAGAAGTAAGGAACGGCATGATTTTTCTTAATGGCTTTGGCTTTGGGATCGGGTCTTTACAAAACCCATGTCGTGTTTTGTTGTCGAACACTCCCTGTGAACAGGTGGACGATGTGGACATCTCGGAGGGCGCCCCTCTCGCTAGTTTTCGATACCTTCAGAGAGGTCTTATCCCTCCACCTCTCAATGATCCAACCATATCCGGCCCTTGAGGTTGGATCTAAGTTTGGGTAATTTGGATTGATGCCCAATGCCCTGGATCTAGGATTTGTTCAGCAATTATCAGAAGAACTCGAAGTGTAGTCCTTTCAAGTCCTTTGTTCATGTCAAGCTTCTCACGTCTTGCTTCTGCAAGGCATCCTGGTAACCATCCTACAACACCATAACTATATTGAGACTGTTTGTCAATGTTTTTCATTTTGCCGCTGTTGATATTGTTAGGTTTTTTTGTCCACTCCGAACCTCTGGTCTCCGTCGCTTTTGACATCGAGGCAGGATGTGCGAGAGTCCTACTGTGCCTTTGCAGGTGCGACCATGGATGGGTTTTCTTCCCTCGTAGAGCCGTGCCCCCGAACATCCCAGATCCGCCAGACGTTTGGGGGAAGAGGTGATGTCCGGAGACGAAAAGAAACCATGATGGAGCTACCAGCTTGGCAGCTTGACCGGATCCATATGGTACTTTTCCAGCTCCAGGTTGACCCAAATCATCCAAATCTCCCCACCCCTCCTGACGATCCCCCCAAACAGCTGCACCAGAAGCACACCAAGCAAGCACAACACCAGAAGCCACGCAGGTGCACACACTGCGCCTGCGGCGCCTGCAGGTGCCAATGCCTCGAGAGATGGACCTTTGGTCTTGACGCCGGTGGAGTACGTCTCCTCCACTGAGCTGCGGTGCCACATCCCGGCGCCACCCATGACCATGAGGCGCCACAGTGGTGACTCGACGTTGGCGGGACGGTTCCACAACAGCAAAGGCATGAAGTTGAATGGACAAGATGAAAGATTGGAGGGAACCAGAAGACCAACAACATCCAACAACCTTTGATTATCTGATTGACAGCAGCAAGGAGTTTTTTGGGGGACTGATGGAAGGGAGCCTTGAATAGCCTTGACATCGTTCTACGAGATGTAGAAAACATTCCAATTGTCAGTGGCTCTGCGCAGCCTGCACAGCTTGCGCACCCAAATCGCTCCGCGAAATCCGCCATGTTCACTCCATTGAGCAGTGTGTGTGTGTGTGTATGTTTTTGTGTTTTTTTGTTCAAAGGGTTGAAGCTTTGAGTTGTTTTACACGTGCGGACATTTGTGCAACATGTTTGCCGAAGAATTGGTTGTTCGGGAAGGAAAGGCCATTATTGCACAGTTGAAGTTGAAGGACCCACAGATTCTTGCAAGTGAAGCCATTTCCTGTTGAACACTTGAACGGTTGGACCGGAGTGACAAGTCATCGCTTTTTCTGTTCACAATCTAAGACTGTACGCAACACTTCAGCTTGCAGGGGTCACCTCATGACGAATCGCTCGGTGAAAGCCTACTTGGTGGCGAAGAAGAGTACAGGCTATTTGACGCAGGTGGGGTGAAGGGCCTGCCAAGTGCAAGGAGGGCGCTTTTTGTGACATGGGGGGGGACGGCAGTGATGCAAAACTGGAGCAGCCATTAAATATGACGTTTGAGATCGCGATTTGGTTGAGGTATTGTATATAATGTTGCTTTAAACAATTGATTCCTTGGGTGAGTGTTGAATGGGCAGAAACTTAGGCAATCAAGTTCCGTTTTCAAAGTATGCGAGGATTGTGTGTGAACGCCAACCCATGCTATCCCATGCTACAGCTTTACTTGTCATTGATTTTTTTGGAACTACGCCACACACACACAGCTGACAATGTGTCTTTATTTATTGCCAGAGACGTGCTTGTGAAAGCGAGGCACAACGTGCTTGGGCAATGACTGGTATTTCTACGAGTGTGGATCAAGAGGGGGGAACAGCTCAACCAAAAAGTTGGAATTCCATCTTTGTGAATATCAACTCTATCACCACTCTCCCTCCCTCGAGGCAGCCACACCCCACCGGCAGCCCCAAGTCGAGGCGGCCTGACTTGCTGTTTTTGTTGCCCCAAAAACACGTGGCCGTCTTCCCTCTTTCCGCAAACCTCCTCTTGCCCCGAGGTGTCGCTCCTTCCGTCAGGTCTCCGAGCTTCCCGACCTCTTCCTCCTACCAAAGCCGCAGATCCAAGCAGTGGAACCTGAGGCGAGACGAACGTCCAGAGCGCTCCACGCCTTCGTGTCGCCGTCACGGCGTGTTTCCGGGTGTTCTTTTAGGTTTCCGGTTCGTGCCCCGTCACGGGTGACGTCCGCGTCCGTTTTGGTGTTTTGTTGTCACATTTGGCGCAGTGATCTCGTACGAATACTGATGCTTGGTCCTTTGCCCAGACCCAGACCATGACCCAGATCACGTACGTGCATGTACCGACAAAGGGGACACTTAACAATCAAAAACAGTAGGAAGACCGGGGCAAGGAAGACCACATTGTCAACATGCAAGGGGGGGGGCGTTTCTTCGCTACCTGACCTTTTTGAAACAGTGATTGCCCGAAATCGAGGTGGCTGCAGTGGTGGAGGAGAACGACACAAGCCAGGTCGAGCCACTCTTGATCCACGTGAAGGGACGGCCAGGGAACACAGCTTTCCAATCGTCGATGGCGGAATGAGCGTGCGGTTGACACAGATCGGCAAGCACCAACAAGGCAAAGCCTGCATGAAACAGTTGTTTGGGCTGGTTTTTACTGTTCAACTGTTCAACAGTAGTTTTTTTTTGGGGGATGATGCAATTCTAGGGAAACGCATGTTAAATGCATGCTTCAGAGCTGGGGAGGGAAGATGGAGGGGAGCGAGACGGGAGGCGCATGGGTGGGGACGGGGCTGGGGAGGGAAGATGGAGGGGAGCGAGATGGGAGGTGCATGGGTGGGGACACACCCATGCGCCTCACGTCTCGCGCCCCTTTCCTTCCATCCTCAGCCCCGTCCACGCCCCTCCATCCACCTCCCGTCTCGCTCCCCTCCCTTCCTTCCCCAGCCCCGCCCACACCCACGCACCTCCCGTCCCCGCAACACAGCTCCACTCACCTCCCAACGTGTCAATGATGCTTGTGGTCCTCGTCGCTCCCCTCCATCTTCCCTCGCCGTGGAAGAGGGAGGGGCGCGATCTTGTGGCAGAATGTCGTTGTGCGAGTGGAGCGGGGTCAGAGCGAGACGAGGCAAGCATTTTCGTGGACGGAAGATGGGTGTGGACGGGGCTATGGATGGAGATGGGAGGGTGGACGGGCGTGGACGGGGCTGTGGAAGGAAGATGGATGCTAAGTAGAACGAAGCGTGGGGGGGCTAATGCTACTCCATGCCTCGCAGAAGAACGTTATTTATTGCGCGAGTGGAACTGTCTGACGCGACTTTATGACGGTCTTGGGTGTCCAGAATGTGTGCAATGTATGCCGAAGACAGCCCGAGTCATTGCCGAAACGGCGGGATGGTTGCATGCCAGAACCGCAATGCTTCAAATTTCATGGTTGGAACGAAGCATGGAGGGAGCTGATGACGCTTCCTGGATGTTAGAAGCCATGTTGCAATCGTTTTATGACCGTTTTGGAGGGCTTTCAAAATTGACCAAGGGGTGGACGGGGGTGTATATGGCAGACGGGGGTGGACGGATGCGCACCAGAACCGCGATGCTTGAAATATCATGGTTGCCACGAAGCCTGGAGGGGCTGATGCTTCGTTTTGGCCTGCTAATGTGTGTTTGTGTATTCTTTTTTGGGTTGCGCGCTTCTTTTTGCTCTTGGGTCCGCGGGCTCACCTTGTCCTCTTAATAGCGATGGCCTCCAACCTAATAGCAAAAGGAACCTAATAGGAATGGCCTCCAACCTAGTAGCGATGGCCTCCAACATACTAGCAAAAGGAACCCACTAGGAATGGCCTCCAACCTACTAGCAAAAGGACCCTAATAGGAATGGCCTCCAACCTAGTAGCGATGGCCTCCAACCTACTAGCAAAAGGAACCTGATAGGAATGGCCTGGCCTCCAACCTACTAGCAAAAGGAACCTGATAGTCCAACCTAGTAGCGCTGGTCTCCAACCTACTAGCAAAAGGAACCTAATAGGAATGGCCTACAACCTAGTAGCGATGGCCTCCAACTTACTAGCAAGGAACCTAATAGGAATGGCCTCCAACCTAATAGCGATGGCCTCCAACCTACTAGCGGTGGCCTCCAGCCCTTTTTTTGTCCCAAGGGAGTTCTTCCTGAAGCACACCGGTCTCAGCGACCAAAGGAGGCCGGTTGTTGACCCGGCTTGGGCGGACGAAGACGACTCTCGGTCCCAAGTCGACGCTCCAACCCTTGTGCAAGGGGATGCACATGCAAACGGTTGGTGGGTTCTTAGGGTTCTTTCTTTTCAGGGTTCGGGCTTTTTTTTTCTTTGAGAAAACAACCAGACATGTGGTCTGGATACGGCTGAACCCTCGGTCCGACCTGTTTCACACTATCTTCAAGGACTCTAGGAAGATGGAAAGCTTGACTTACTCAGCACGGAAGTAGATGACCTACTATGATCCACAAACCAGCAGCTGATGCCCAAACCATCGGATTGAAAGCAAAAACAACAGCGGTTGCGAACAGAACATCTTCCAGGGAGGTCAACCCGTCAACCCATCTTTCTTTGAGGCTCTTCTGTTTGGACCCAACCCCACCCCCCGCGTATCACTACACCACCCGACAACCACCCGACAACCAGCAGCAGAAGCAGCAGCAACAACAACAACACGGTGGGACCGATTGTGACTCTGTGAACATTTGAAGCCGAGTGCACCGCGCGTCATGTCCCAGCAGGTGCCGTTTGCAGTGGGATTTTGCTGGTTTGGAGGAGAGGGGAAGTGCAGGTTCATCCTGACTGCTGCAGGCTGTCAGTATGCTGTCATTGTGCATCGCATTACAAGTCTTTGTACCTTGGGAACTGCGGCACTAAAGTTCCAAGTCGGTAGGTAAAACCTTGCAGGTTTGTTGTAGGTTGATCCAGTAGAGCATGAAGTTTGATTTGCAGCGTTTTATCCTTACTCACCCACACTCGCTCGCCAGGATCGGTTTTTCACATTGTTGGTCTTGAGCGAGACGGAGGTGCCGATAAGGAACACATGGCCAAGCGGGCCAAGCGCATGGCCGTTGGACGGTTTTGGGTCTTATAGAAAACACCATCCGGCGATCCGGATTGAATATCAAGACCATAAGACTGAGGATGGTGTTGAGTTGGTCTGGGAGTTGGTTGTGGATCAGTTGGTAGGTGTCGTTTCGCGCGGCTTTCACACCGCGTAAAGAGCGGTGTGCCGACCAAAGGGGACTCATTGCTTGACGCACGTGGTGTTGAGCCTTCAGAAGGGCGTGGTTGGTGTCATAGAGTCAGTAGCCTACCCAAGCGGTGGACCTTCTCAAGGTTTCCTCATTCAAAAGCGAACAGATGGAAGGTTAAGGTATTTTAGGGAAAAGGGTTGGGAGTCCTTTTCTTCAGCCACGGCACTGAATCGACACTGCAAAGAGAAAGGGGGTGCCGAAAAGAAAATAGAAAAAGTGCTTTTGGAGTTGTCCCCAAAGAGGCTTCTACTTGTTTAATACTTGTTTAGCCCACCAATCAAGACCGACCCCAAAACTGTTGGATGACGCATCCCTCGAAAGACATCGTGGGGGCGTGAGGTGGCTTGCAGAATGCCGCAACATGCGTGTCTTGCCTGTGTCTTGGGGCTGGTGTATAGAAGAAAGACACTGGCATGTACCACTTATATAGATACTGTTAATGCCAGCTAATTAGTGCATCGCATGAACTAGAACGAGTCAAAACACAAATTCCCAAACTTCCAGCATGGCACAAATCCAGCTTGGCCCCGTTTTCTCACGCTGGAATTGTCACTGACAACGGTAGACTCTCGTGCCAGCATCCAACATGTCCAGCCTTCCAAAACTATTCAAACCCATATATGCTATATATGCCACATTGAACCCACCAAACCGCCCCAACTGATCGGCAAATATGGCATACATGGAGTGTCTGGGAAAGTTTCCCTCAGTCTTTATGCCATGCATCTTCCGTGGCAGCCCACTCTCTTGTGGGTAGTGGCGTAGTGGCGTCCATTCGTCCATGCCTTTTTTCGGTCAGTCACCCTTTCAGACGTTGATGATAATCTAATAATTGAATATCGTTGATATTCGTTGATGTTCTGGCCTCGAACCATCCAAGTAGCCTCCTACAGCCCTAAATCCTGACAAAGATTGTTGTCCGGGGTAAAGACTACTGTAATACCCTTCCGAGGACTAAAATATTGATCCTGAAAATACTGGTTTGTTCAGAGGAAAAAAAACAGTCTTTCGGGGCTCCAATTCTGAGGGTGCATATTAGTTTGATTGTAAATGGGAGTTGTAATTCTAAGGGCAAAGCTCGGCAAAGCTGGCTTTGTTTCACCAGAGAAACATTGAATGGGCTTGACTTTCCATGTCCCGAAGTATGGAGAGATGTTCAAGACCTATAGCCCACTGGGCAAAGCAATGGTGAAGGCTTCCCAACTCTTGTAGTGTTGTGTTTTTTTTTACGGTTTCCCTGCCTGAGTTGTTCAATCTTGATGCAAAAACCGAGGAACAACAAAGTGCTACCAAGTCCAAGCAAGGCCCAGTGTGGACATAAGTATCATCATGCGTCAAGGAGTTCATTAAGGTATTTGGGTTTGGGCCAGAAACACTGGAAATCTCACCAGGTCAGAACCGCCTTGGTCGGTCTCACTCTCATCCGGCCGGTAATACCACACCTGAGTCCATCGGGAGAGATCCTCCATCCGGGGATGGAGCGCGGGGCGAGTTCTTTGCGACCCGCGCTTTGCCTCTTTGGAGTCCGTGTGTGTGACCCTTTTACAGGCCCTTTTGTGACCTCAAACTGAGATTCATCAGATATCAGAAGGTCACTTTGAAGAACCAGGTGAATTTGGACACAACACCACGATCCATGCGCCATTCACATGTGGAAATCCTGGGAGATGCGTGGATCTGTGTTGCCGAGCACAGCCACTCCATGTGCACCAGCCTCGTGTTTTTGAACCTGACGGGTATCATGGGGTATAGCTAATCTTGCAGGCCTCCATTGTGTGATCCACGTGTCCGACACTGCCAATAGACGCCGCTCAGGCTCTATCTCAATGAGAAGCTGGCAGCTGAGATTGGGTCATTTCTACACCACCTGTGCTTTGCATGTGGACCATCCTACTCAGGATTCAAGAAGATTAAAGCATAGACTACGTACAACTGTTCATCGAACTGGAAGGAAGCTACTATTTCTCTCCATTTCCTCAAGGAACTTTAGCTCAATTTTTTGCTGATGGCCTCAATTTGCACACACTCGGATAACGAACCATCATTGTTTTGCGGATGTACAGACAAGGGAGATGTAATAGAAGTTGGTCTATCAAATAGTCCGTAATTCATGAGATTGATCAGATCAAACCTAGACCGGATTGTCAAGTACCCGGGAAAATGGGGCTGCGGCATGACCCTATAAAAGCAGGTACTTGTACCTATGTTCCGAGGTACTTTGAGACTACTTGAGACTCCATATTGTTCCTCTCATGTTCATTCTTTCTCATTAAATTATTCGATCATATCTCAATGCAGTTGTTTTATCCTTTATTCTCATTCCACTAGATGCCCTTTGCTTCGGCCAATAGCGGTGTAGCGACTTCAGGGCGTTCCTCTCGATCTCGGTGGATGGCCAAACGTGGTCCAACGCTTTGCCGATCTACTTCCTGCGCCAGGCATGTCATGCACGACTTGGGTCATCCATTTTTCAACCTCGCAATGACTGCTGCAAAACAAAAAAAACACCACGTGTTGACAATGAAGGTGTTTCTCGCGCGCGTGACAATGGCACACCGTGACCATGAGAGATGGGGCGTATTGTGTTCACACGGGCATTTTCTGGTAAGATCTGGCAAGGCTGCATGGTGATGTTTTGCGTCGGATTTCAATCCATCTAGACTCGAACTGCAACTCCAGGATTGTCCATCCTCCACGGACTGTCCTTCCTTCTCGTTCCTTCGAAGCGTCCAACTCCGCCGGCTCTGATCGGCGAACGAAGTCGGCCAGGCCATGATCTACTCCGAGGGGCCCAGCTTGGTGCCGCCGTTTCAGAGGGTCACTCTGAAGCTCAACACCACCGCGGAGTCCTTGTCACACTACCAGGCCATACCCGAACCGGCCAGGACCAGAGAGGCAGTGAAGTTGGCATGGAGAAGTGGCTGAGTGAGTTGATGTGGAGAAATCAACTGTGAAAGCTTGTTGGGTTTTTGGTGTTGCAACCTGTTACATTATTGCTGTAGAGGTCACTCATGGTCACGATGCGCGGATAACAACAGACTTGGGACTTTTCAGGGCGGCGGAAGGGGCGCCTTGGAGGATCCCGCACTGGCGCGGAGGATCCCAGCGTCCCGGCCATGAAGCAGAATGCACCGGAAAAATCCAGTGGGGGGCTGGGAAGTAGCTGGGGCAAATCCCATATCCTGTTTAAATCTGTTTAATCTTCGGGTGCACTTTGAACGGATCGAGCTGAATTAGAACATATGTTGAAGCGTCATTTGCTTGAATCAAATGCTAGCACGCATCCAGGTCATTTCCTAATGTGTCCTTCATGTTCGAAGTTTCCCGGTTCCCACCCGGGTCCCTTCCACCATCACCTGCAGGTTTTGAGGACCACCAGCGCTTGGTGCGACTTCGGGATGCCTTCCGTGGCCTCGCGGTGGAAGACGAGAGCCGCGTTTCGGGGGAACGTCAGCATCGAGGGTCGGGAGCCGAATTCGTTGTTTGGTTCGCCGTGCGAAAGGCATGTTTTGTGGGCCGACTCGATCACGTTCGCTATGGGATGCTATGAGTATCTGATCAGACTTCCACGAATAGCTCTGGGTGTTTGTGTGAGCTGTTGGAGTGTCCTAGGTGATTGATTTGTGATTTGTGGTTGGATGTTTTTGGGGACGTTTGGATGCAGTACTGGGCGTATGACGATCGAGTACTGGGCGTGTGATGATCCGGTTTGGGCGCATGATCCTTTGGATGCATTCATGCTCCAGGAGCCCCCAGTAGCGATGCCAGGAGCTCCTAGTAGCTTCTTGTTCCTAGTAGTAAGGCCAGGAGGATGCCAGGAGCCCCTAGTAGGGTCCTTCCTCCTAGTAGTGATGCCAGGAGCCCCTAGTAGGGTCCTTCCTCCTAGTAGTGATGCCAGGAGCCCCTAGTAGCGCCCTTGCTCCTAGTAGCGATGCCAGGAGCCCCTACTAGCTACTTGTTCCTAGTAGCCATATGATTCCAGCCAATACTCGTGGGGAACAAAAGCCCAGCCACATGCCCACGTCAGACAGGTGCTCATGTCAGTGGTTCATTCGTTAAAGGACTCGGGTGGCTTTTTGCTTTCCATGTGCACCACGGAAAATCTGCTCTCTCGTGCTTTTTGCGGGGCGGAGTGGTAGCTCCAGTTCCTTACTTATAGTGGTTCTTTCATTCATTTATGCCTACAAAGTGATTCAATCCAAGTAGAGTCCGTTACTATCCTTAGTGACTTAGTGTTCTTAATGGGTGTTTGAGGAGTCCAGTCTTCTTGCAAAAAAAGGAGGCAAATGGGTTTGCTACCTAAAAAGTGCCTTGATCCTTCAGATTGATTTCATTGCACCCTTGCCCAAGTCGATTTCCAGTCCAAAACATTCCAAGACCCACCAAGTTCTAGGTACATTGGGCACGCATGCGCACGCATGTGCACGCATGCTCGCGAGAGAGGCATGTTCTTCAGCGCAGATGGTGTGCTGAGGCTGCACCCACACCGGCAGTGATGATGGATCTCAACATGCCTCCTGGAGGACGTTTGCCGTTCCTGTGAAGGTCGCTCTTGGGATGAAGGCCATTGCTTCGAGGTTGCAGGCCATGGCTATTAGGATGGAGGCCGTTCGAGGCCACGGCTATTAGGTTGGAGGCCAGAGGCCATGTCCAGCAAAGGGTTTGATGGCTGCCTCTTTGGAGGACGTTTGGTCGTTCCTTTGGAGATGTATGCAGATCTGTAGTCAAACAACTTGGGTCTCGTCTAGGGCACGATTGAACATGGATGTGATGGGATGTGATGGAATCTGATCTCTTTTAATTTCCATTAGATGTGACCTGAACCTCAAAAGAACCGTGGCAACTGCATGGATAATGGGCCTAGCATGCGACCCGACTTCAGTCTGACACCAACCAGAACTTCCTTCCCCACCAAAAAGTAGTGGTGGACAGGTCAGCTTTCTTTTTGTTCGGCTTAGCTTCAGAGATCATTTAAAGCGTTGAAGTTCACTCGAAGATACTCGAAGCAGATTCCATTTCATCGTTCGGCCGTTTGGACTTTGAAGTTTGATCGACCACTCGGCTCAAGGTGGTCTGGCCACCTAGTGATATTTTACCAGATGATGCGCATGCCCAGCAAGTGCAAAGATCCAAAGTTGGCGCCCTTAGCCCTCGGGGCAGGTGTTGTTTCTTGACAAGATCCAGTTGAACCTATAGCCTATACACCTGTGAAGAAAGATGTATAGAGATTTGTGGGCGACTGAACAGTTGCCCTTCAGCCAATCATATGGAGAAAACCGGGGCAGCAAGCACTATAGCTCAAGAAGAAACATATGTTGGCATTTTTTTCTTCGTAGGACATTCCGAGCTTCCGCTCTGTGACATCGAGTGCCGACTCTTGAGCTTTCAAGAAATGAGTACCGACTCAGTACCTCTCTAAGTCATGGGTTCCACCACGACTTTCGTAAAGCACAAAGCACCCCATCACCCGAAAGCCGCAGCCCTGACGTAGGAGTAAACTACCTTCCTACCTACCTTGGAGTCGCCTCCACGGCGGGACCGGCGGAGAAACCCAGCGAGTCGCCCCTGTGACCGGCGAGTCGCCTCCACGCGTCATGTCGATCGACCGCTGAGAAGTTGATCGAGTCGAATGGCGGAGTTGTGACCTGGATGAGACCGGGGCAATCTGGGCTTAATGAATCTGCAGTGATTAGACACCCATTGGATATATGTATTTTTTGTTTTTCGGGGGTGAATGTGATCCATTTGTCCGGCGCCTTTGCATGCGACGTGTTTTTAGGCAACGTGCCTGGCAGAGTGGGACCGTCGGAAAAGACATTGTCATCCCCAGACTCATGAATCCCTACACTGTTTCTTTTTACTTACAAGAGTCACAAGAGCTTCTTTGGTTGAAGCGTTCAATCACCAAGGACGGGCAATGAGGATGCTGAAATCGAGATGCGCATGGCCAGCGGATGGCTTTCCAAAGAAGAAGGGCACCGTTCCTTGCCTCTGCCGTTCTGATACCTTTTTCAATCTACTAGGAGCAAGAAGCTACTAGGAGCAAAGGGCATCGTTACTAGGAGCAAGGACGCTACTAGGAATAGTATTATCCAAAGAATGTCAGAACCGCCTCACGAGGCTTGAAGACCCTGCTGAAGATGGGCGAGGTCCCCGAGCGAACGGCCGATAAGGCCAAAGAGCGGCTCGACGTGCAGGCGTTGTAGAGCTCTGAAGAGCGCCCTTTTCAATGTTTTGACCAATAGCTAGTAGTAGCAAGGACGCTACTAGGTTGGAGGCCATTACTACTAGTAGCAAGAAGCTATACTAGTATCTAAGTCACGAAAGGTAGCCCTTCAGGGGATACCTTGAGTTTGTCTTGCGAAGCAAGTGTGGGCTCCTCCGGATCTAATGATTGATAGTTCAATCATCCTGAAGTGGATCACCTCGATTGTTATTTAGGAATTGAGCACTCTAAGCTTGGGGCAGTGTTTGAGTCCAGGAAGAGACATGACATGTTGTTTTTAGTGCTTCTTGTCGTTGAGGAATATATATAACTATAAACTTTGGTCTTTTCCCCCACTCTCAAGTTGACGTTTGACTCGACTCCACCAACACCACACTGCATATTTTACATGCTTCTATTCTCCTCCCGCTGTCCTGCCTTTCGTGTATCCCTCTTCTCAAGTATCTACTAGTAAATGCCTTCAGAGCTAGGGAGAGAGCGGGACAGTGGTCCAACTGGTCGTGCACATTGGAAGCACATGAACTCTTGACCTTCCAATACTCAGCCTATGGATCGCATGACGGAGGGTGTTTGGGTCAAAATCCACCAGAATTCGTGGCGAGAGGTTTTGTGGCTGGAAGGCCAGTTTTCCGGTATTCATTACGGAGGATATTTGCATGCCCATCCTTTTGTGTGGGACCGACTATCCCAATTTACTGGTAATATCTATAAGTGACTGGAGATGAAGTTTCCACCGCTACGCTGTCGGTGCTCCGCTGACTTTCCTCTCCGTTTTAATCCATGGTCGGGTAGGAGCCCAAAGAAGCCTGAGGACTTAGGAGGAATTGTTTGGAAATGGTCAATGGCATGCGTAATTTGAGGATAAACTATGATGCACTGAACCCTTACCAAAAGTCTAACACAAAAAAAGATCAAAACCGCCATAACTAATTATGTTATATAATATTACATCTATAATGGTTATTATTCATTATGCTATTAGCTGGTGAGGAATTTCCAAACAAAGGATCTATACCAGGACCCACAAGGGGTGGTTAATGGACACCCCTTAACCTCTAAGAGGCTATCAATAGACACCCCCCTGGCCCGGGTGTCCTGGTACATCCGACATCCGTCCAGAGATCCGTTTCGGATGTCTTAGGACTGAGTTCTGGACGCATTCCACCACGGTGATGCTGAAGAATATCTTGCTCCACAAGGAATTTCCCACGGCCTTCACCAAGTTCTTGTCGGCCATCGGTGTGAAGTACATCCGACAGAAGATCAAGGACGGAGACGGATGGCTCCCGGACGGAGGTGGATGAGGGATGAAGGAAGACATACATGGGGAAGCAGTTTTTAAGCTTATGGAAGCTTATAATACTTCGGACTGAGTCTCAGAGTGCTTGGAAACACCACCGCAAAAAGAAGAAGTAACACTCACTAAAGCAACAATTACAGTATATATATAAACAAACTGTATATTGTATAATATATACAATATTATATACCATCTCACAACAGTTTGGAAAGCTTGGAACGTATGTCCACAAGTTTGTGAGCTGATTGTCAATTACCGAGACTTGTTGGAGCCCAACGTCCGCTCCCGGTCGACCAGCTGGCAGATCGCAAGAGAAATCAACGTGTGTTTCTAGTAGCTTCTTGTTGCTACTAGTGAGGCACTTGTTACTACTAGCGTGGCACTTGTTACTACTAGCTTCTTGTTACTACTAGTGAGGCACTTGTTACTACTAGCGTGGCACTTGTTACTACTAGCTTCTTGTTACTACTAGTGAGGCACATGTTACTACTAGCGTGGCACTTGTTACTACTAGCTTCCAAATCAACATGTGTTTTGTTTTTTTAATGTAGACTCTCGGCCGCTCAAAGCCGCTCAAAGCTGTGGGCGCACACCGACCGACTTAAGTGAGTGTGTAATGTAGACTCTTGATTAATAACCCTCCCATATAGAGGTTTTTCAATCCATGTCTTTGAACTGCTTTCGCTTCACCTCAAGGAGCATGACCTCCGGCGTGCCGACCCGGAATACGTGAACCGCTTTCCTCGAATGGATCCTCGGCATGGAGTTCAGCAGCCTGTTGATTTTGTGGAACCACGTATAAAAGGTGATTAAACGTTGCATTTTGTGGGAGGTTTGGATATTTGAGTGTGGACAAGAAGTGGGAGCTGATGTTCAAGAACACAATTGATGACATTGATTATCTTATATTATATGTAATTTGTATCGCTGCCGTCTTTTGTGTCTTGAAATCTTCACAGGATGCCTTGGTGCACTCCGATCGCTTCGAAAGGGCCATGGGCCTCATTATGTTGGCCAATGCCGTCATGATTGGCTTCCAAGTCTCTCAGGAAGAGAAGAGTGCTGCAGGCGCTGGGGCGCTGGGGTGGGGCGTTAAGCTGCCTGGCCACTCTCCGTGAGCGAAGAAACCGAAGATGATGCACGTCTCTCTACTTTTTTGGGCTCCAAACCGGAAGACATGAGGGTTACGGGTACAGCCATGTTACCATGTTCATCCAAGACATGCCGCAAGTGATGCAATGAATCACTGGTTCGTTTTTGCACGAATGATCATCAAGCAAGTAAGGCAGTTGACATGCATGCACAGGGTCAATGTCAACCGCCATGTTCTGGTTCAGCAGTGCAGGGTGAATTGCTTCCTGTCAGAGTTCTCAAAGCTCAAACCGGGACCTGGATATTATTCTTCATTAAGTTACAGCCACCAACAAGTAGGCGAGGTGGCTAAAGAGCGCGATGTTGAGATAGCTCCAACTATAGTCGGGGTCTCCGTTTCCTGCCCACACAACTGGCTCCACACGACCTGCGAGACGTCACGCGCGACCGGACATGGCTCCGCTCCACAGAAGAGAACAGAAGCTAGAAGCGTCCTGTTACTATAGTGATGGTCTCCAACCTACTTGCGATGGCCACCGAGCACAGCGTCCTTGTTACTGCTTTCTGAGGGATCTACACGGTCTTGGATTTTATCTTCACAGTCTGCTTCGTCGTGGAGCTCTTCGTGCGCGCACTCCCAGAGGCGGTGCGTTGGGGATCCACCAAAGGAAGCTGTCCGAGTTTGGAGGGTGATTGGAGTTTCAGATGTGGAGGGGAATCCATGTTCTGAAGGAGGTGAAAAGATGGTGACCAATTTGTGGTATTTGTTGATGTTTCATTCAGAGTGTTGGCTGTTTGAATTGCGTGCATGAAAACGGCTCTGACTCCGAGCAGGGATCCATTCATTTGGCCGCGAGTTGTGCAAGATTGTGCACGGCATGCCGTGCACGGTATGTTGCCATGTAGCAAGCAAGTATCTAAATCTATATAGCAAGCATGGTATTTGTTGCCATCTAGTATCTATGCCCACGGTATTGTTTACACTTTACTTGCAATCGCTGGTGGGCGGCTTTCCCCACTGAGCGCTGCATGTTGATCGGTAAACGCGCTGATTCCCAGGGCTCGGAGTGATCGCGTCCGTCGCGATCGGTCGATCAATGGATTCCGGCAGCTTCAGGGCTGGCGCTGGTGGTGTAAAGCTTCCAACATTTTTGATGTGATCATCGTCCTGGCCACCAACGTGATCCCGGTCCCATGACCGTCGAAAGCGCAAACGCAAAAATGGGCGCCCAATTGGGCGATGGGCGCCCAAAGCGTGCGCACGCCGCGTCGAGCGCAGGAGGGCGTTGTGAGGGAAAGTCTCGACGGTTCGAGAGATTCCCCCATAGTCAGCGTGCGTTGTGCTCGGCGTGAGATGTTTGTTGGTCACCTGTTTTGAGAATTCCTTTGTCATGTGTAAGTGTACCTTGGCAGCCATCCCAGCGATTTTGGTCCAAGAAATTGGAGGAGTTGATCTCTCATTTGGTGAAGTCCTACTCATGTTCACCCACCCCCCCTACCAAAACACACTGTGCTCCAAAAAGCATCTGCCCTCGTTCCCCATGCTGTCGGAACGACTCCTCCAACGAGACCGGCGGATCGGGCAGCGAGGTTTGGATCCTGCTGCCTTTGGGCATCGACAACGCGGTGATGCGCCCCTTCGCCGTGCTCCGACTCTTCCGCGCCGTGAAGCTGGGGCGGCTCATCCGGAAGTATCGACGCCTGAAGATTCTATGGAACCTCTTCCAGGTGGGGACGGAGGTGAGGAGGGGAGGATGGCTCCGGTGTTTCTCCAGGCCTACCTATATAGTTCGACTCCTACCGCCTACCGGATTGACCCGATGAAACGGCCGAAGCTCAAAGACGGGAAAAGCTCTGCACATGCCGAGGATTGATCAGAAACCCTCCCGTTTTCTGTGGATCCCATGCACCCCAGGGTCTTCCGCGTCACCTCGGTGAGCCTCTGAACCATCGGTGTGGCAAGAAACAACGAGTCAGATACACATGTTGCTCACGACGAGTCAGTGCAAGTGGCGTGGATTCTTGTTGGATCGACGAGTCGCGGCTTCAGCCGGGCGTTCTGTTGGGTGTACAGTGGCTGTGTAGAGGTTGGATGTCACCCAATAAGAACTAGGGAGCAACAATAGGAACGAGGTCAGGACTTGAAGACCAGCCATCAACTTCTAAATCTTTCTAAGTGGTTTCAGATATGGACCCCCTGGACGAAGACATTACTTGAAACTAGAAACTAGACCAAAACCCATTGATTGGGGGATATTGGGGGTCTCCGATTTAAAGTGAACACCAATATGTGTTCAGCCTTTACTTGGGATGATTGAACCCACTGACTCACATTTTTCAAGCGAGCTGAAACCAAGCCAGGTTCTTAGTTGACTGGTTTGAGAGATGCCTTTGTAAGAGTTGCGCAACATTGTTACATCAACTTGCTGCCTTCATGCCTTTTTCTTCTGGCACAGCTGGCACAGCTGACAATGGCACGAGTTCCGAACGGCTTAATGTTTGAGGGTCGAAATCCTTTCTTTGACTGCTTAGAGTTGTCCTTTTGGATGGACCTCCCACTTCGAGCTTGCTCCATGCAAGTGTTAGATGCATTGTCATTCAAGAATGTGGGAACCTTATGGAGACTCTGCACAAAGAAAAGATCGAACTTATAAAGCTGTCGGCCACCATCATTCTCCGCTTATTTGCTGACATTGAAGCTGTTTTCGCATATAATTACCATCAGCTTGCCCGTGGCGCCCACGGCACAGGGGATGATTGGCAGCGGTCGAATCCTTGCCTACACACTCTTAATGCTGGGCACAACGCTATTCATCTTTGCAGTCTTTGTGGTCTCTTGCCGGCTCGTGGAATGGGTGCGATCATTCCCACGCATTCACGGCCCCATGTTGGATAGGAAGAATGGGAGGGTGGAATTTGTTGAATACCTGTGCCCCAGGATCCCTCAGAGAAGTACCTGTATAAATAAATATAGTCTAGTCATCATCCTCATCCCACCAATCGTCCCGAAGCATCAATACATTGGCTCCTTTGGGCCTACCAAATCTGGAAATCTCCACGATTGGGGGAGGGAGAGAGAGGGAGAGAGAGCCTAATAGTGATGGCCTCCAACCTAGAAGCAATGGCCTCCAACCTACTAGTGATGGCCTCCACCCTAGTAGCAATGGCCTCCAACCTAATAGAGAGAGAGAGAGAGATTTTAAAAAAAGAAACACACCCACACACATCCTTTTTCACGCTGCTGAACTTCATCTTCTCACACGTGCCGACTTGCCTCTTGTCACACTCGTCCGCGTCACGCGTCTCGTGTTGCCATACGTGCCGACTTGCCACGGTGGGACCGTTCAGGTGGTGTTGATCACCAAGAACCCTGCCACGAAGGATCATCCCATGGTCATTGCGCGCTTCCAAACGGTACCCGAGGCGGCCAGAGAGAGAGAGAGGATCTTTGCACGGCCGTGAGCCGCAGAGAAGCCAGTTTAGAAGCGAGTGTCGAGAGGTCATGAGATGTCGAGTGTCCATGTTTCTTCTGCCATGGTTCAGTTTCTTTCACTGCCGTCAAACCAAGCACAGAATACCTATAGAGCCTCCTCTTGGGCAGAAATTACTGGTTTAACTCCATGATACAAGATATGACTTGTCCTCAAAAGCCGAATTCTCTTGAACAAACCAAGCAGCCCATCCGTGTAGTGAACTCTCTGCGAAGCCAAAGTTCGGCGCATCCGGGGAGCCATGTGCCGATCAGATCGATTGTCCGGATCGTGTTGCTTACGTTTAATTACTCAGTACAAACTACACATACTTAGTAGAGCATCCTGTCCGGGTGTCCAATGGAAGACCTGTAAGTAGGGTGGTCTATTGGAGACCCCTTGGATGGTCCAACGAAAACATCGTACATGAAAACAAAAAAACGGAAACACAGTTTTTTCATTGTACTAAGCTATAGCTAATTAGTATATACTTCCGTTTGCCCATCAATCCCCATCAAATTGACATAAATGTTCCAAGTGTTGGATTTCGCCGTTCGCACCATCAAAACACCCTTTGCAGCACCAACAAACGGCTTTGTTTGTTTCTCAAACGTGTCGGGCAGAACATGCTTTCGTGATTATCATCACCACACTGGAATCGCCAAGCACCACACGGTGGACCAAGGTCCAGGTCCACAAAAAAGCAAATGAACTCCCATTGGAACATGTCGCTAGGCCACACAAACTCGGCTAGGCCTTTTTCACCTTGTTTCAGATCATCACCTTGGATAGCTGGATGACGGAACTTGCACGACCCCTCGGCGATGCTAGTCCCCTCGCAGCCATGATCATCGCTGCTTGGAGTGACGGAGATCGTTTTTGGTATGAATGATCCGATGGGCTTTGGTTGATAAAGCAGATCTGACCACGAAACGAGTTGTTGTTGTTGTTGTTGTTGTTTTCAGATGTTTTGAACCCCAAACAGTTTCCATGGAAGACGCTACGAACGGAGCTCCTGGCATCGCTACGAACGGAGCAAGGACGCTACGAACGGAGCTCCATGTGAATTCCAATTAAAGAGTTATTCGCCCTTTCTGGGACCTTTAGACATACTGTTTGGGTTCTCTTGCCAGGAGAATTGTGAAGGATATATGGCAGTTGTAGGTTTGGATTAAGAGATCGTTTTCAGCTGCCATCATGCGCCAGAGTCGTTCTGGCGGTTCAAAAACCACTCTCTTTTGAATCTCCTTCAGGTTTCTGCAGTTTTGCTGGTTGAGATGTGCTTGTTGAACCTGGTAGCCGCCACGATCCTCAACGCGGCGTTTGAACGCCAAGCAGCGGACTATGAGATGGTCGCGCGCGAAAAGAAGGACCGGTGTCTTCGCGGGGTCACCTAGGCCTGGCAGTTGGGCGAGTGCGGGGTAATGTATATGGAGAGGATCAGAAACATCATCGTGATGGTATGGAAGTGATCGCACATGAAGACTGATTTGTGTACGCGATGGTGGAGTTATCACCGAACCGGCCAAAGCCTCGGAGGTGCCAGCGGGCCACCCAAAATCTGGGCTCGAGACACCAGCAGAAGGGTTCATGTGGGTGGCCTCTCATGACTCCCCTGATTTTGATTTGGGGAAGGAAGTCTTTTCTGGATTGAGCCGTGGAGTCATGCTGGACTCAAACCATGGGGCCATCTTAGGAGACTCGGGATGGACAACAGTGAAGTTGATGAAGGTGGAAGAGGTGCCAGGCTTCATTGAGGAGCGAGAAAAGTTGGTGCGTAGTCGTTTGGAGCTGAGAGGACAATCCGTCCACATCGGAGGAGGTGGTGGCAAGAGAAATGAGGCAGAAGAGGCAGAAGAGGCCTCAGAGGATGTTCGGACTTTGAGTGTCTTCTATGATGACCAGGGCGAACGTTATCGCTCCTGGCGTGAGGCCACCAAGGACACTCGAGAATACTCCTACTCCGATTGGCCGCTGGAGGGCCCTCAGTCCGTTGTCCACCTCATGAAGTACATGTTGAAGAATGGGGGCAGCCCAAAACAATGGCTACTGGTGTGGGCTCGGCACAAGGGAGTTCACGACAATGACCGGGTGATGCATGAGATGAGGGCCCTGCTCGAATGCTTCGAGCAAGCTGGCTGCTACGATCAGTTGAATTTGGGAAGCCTGGCTTGCTTTGAGACACTGGGTCGTCGCATTCAGAGCATTGTTGATGCATACAACAGTGGTTCAGCATCTTCACCCGATTGGGGCGCTGCCAAGATCATGTCAGGCTACCAGGGGCCGGAGGACTTGGTGTCGCCGACCCTCCGCTCATGGGCAGCTAAGAAGGGGAAGGAGGAGGTCGAGCTTGCAGCTGCCAGAACGAAGATGAGAGAGTTCAAGAAGTTGCAAGCGCCCGTTGAAGAAGCCGCTGCCGCTGCCGTCGCTGAGGGCAGCCTTCCTGCAGGCGGAGGAGCCGCTAAGCCTAAGCGCAAGGCTAAGGCCAAGCAGCTCCCTCCGCCGGAGAACCAATGATGAGTGGGCCTTGGAATCCTCCTGATGCCTCCAAGGGGGATTCCATAGGGCTGGCAGCAGTAGGAGGCATGAAGCCAGATCCAGCCGTAGGCAAGAGAGATCTTTTTCCTTTGCCAGTGCCTTCACTTCACAGCAGATGGCACGGCGCCAGTCGCCGCTCACAGCAGAGGAGTGATAGGAGAAGCAGAGGAGAGGAGACAGTGCGTGAGGCCGTGATGGCCTTGAATTGGTTGGCTGGCTATGATTTTTTGCATGGCACAGATGGTGAGCCTGACCCCTTACAAGTTGAGGTTCTCCAACGAATTCGCGAACTTTCCAAGGACGCTGGAAACATAGGCACCTTGGGATATGTTCCAACTCCAGAGGCAGCCTTGCGAGAGCTGCTCAAGGGAAAATCGGAATACAACCAGCCCAAGATCCCTGTTGCTTTAGCCCCCTACAGTCTCGAGCGCATCTCTCTACCAGCTTCACTCCATGACCTTCCAGAGGCCAAGGACTTGCTGCCCAAAGATGCCCGTCGATATTTGTTGGGTGAAGAGCTCATGCTTAGGGAGGGAGAAGTTTTTGAGTCTCCCCGCCCCTATTGGGATCCTGTTTTGGCAAACAACAAACGATGCTACCGGGAGTTCATTCAACGTCTGGACGACATAGGACTTTTGCAGTATACTCAGAAACCCAAAAACGAAGTTGGCGTGTTTTTTGTGCACAAGAGTGACAAGAAGAAGATTCGTTTAATTGTTGATGCCAGATCCGCAAATGCCCTTTTTCGAGACCCTCCGGGAGTTGAGCTTTGTTCAAGTGAAGGGTTCAGCCGAATTGAATGTGAAGTGTCCTCTGACGCCAAGCCTGGAAGCCCCGAGTTTCTGGAGGAGCTTAGAACCATGGAGCTTCACGTGGGCCTTTCGGATGTGAAGGACTGCTTCCACAGGCTCAAACAACCGAGGTGGCTTAGTGAGTACTTCTGCTTGAAGCCCATTCGAGCTCACTGGGTGGGTTTGGCCGGCAAGTATTTGGAAGGGGTTAAGTTGGGTAGCAATGACCTCATTTATCCCATGCCTGGCAGCTTGTGCATGGGGTTTTCATGGAGTCTTTATTTTTGCCAACAGATCAACGAACATCAGTGCACTTTGACTCGCAGTTTGGGAGATTCGACATTGATCACTGACAAAGGCAAACCAGTCGTCTTCAAAAGTTCGAAGTGTTTGAAAGAAGCAGAGTCCACTACAAGACATTATGTCTACGTCGACAACCTTGGAGTCCTGTCGCCTCACAAAGCGGTCGTTGCAACCGCCCTCCAGGAGTTGGACGAGCACTTTGGAGGGCGGGGCTTGTTGCTTCACCCAGGAGAGGTGCACAGCAGTGAGACACGGGCGCTAGGGACTATTTTGGACGGGAACAATCTTTGTTCAAAAATCACACCTGAGCGCTTTCACAGAGTTCGACAGAGCATTCGAGGGTTACTCAATAAGAAGCGTGTGACGGGACAGATGCTAGAGGTGGTGGTGGGGCACGCCACCTTTTGTGCCCTGAACAACAGAATGTTGCTGTCCGTTTTTCACAGTAGCTACAAATTTATCAAGGCACATTATTTTGAGAACAGCATGATTTGGGATTCAGTGCGGGCCGAACTGACAGCCTTCGCAGGACTGATGATCTTCCTGCGGTCGGATTGGTGGCGGCCTTGGAATCCCTTAGTTTGCAGCAGCGATGCCAGCAACACGGGTTATGGAGTGTGCACTTCTTTTTGGAGTCTCGAAGATGTGGCCAGGGTTGGGAGACAGAAGGAGCGTAGCCGGTTTAGGAGATGCGAGGGGCACTCTGCCCGCGAGTCATCTCTAACTTCGGCAGGGTTCGTAAAGGACGAGGTTACAGGTTGTTGGAAAACAGGTGAGCTTTCGTCTGAAGACTATCTCAACTTGAGTGGTTGGCAGATCGACCAGAACTTTGAAGAGGTGCCGGCCCGTTTGCTTAGGAAAGACAGATGGCAGCCCAAGCTTTGGGGACGCTGGCGGTTCAATGAGGGCATCCTCACCTTGGAGGCCAGGGCAGCCGTAAAGGCGTTGAGGCGTGTCGCATTGAGTCGGTTTGGGTCACAAATACGACAGCTTTTTCTCCTTGACAACATGTCGGTTACTTTGGCCTTTGAACGGAGTCGCAGCCGTCAATTTGGTTTACTCAAACAAGTGAGGCTGTTCAATGCATATTGTATTGGTCGGGGCATTCAACCTAGTTTTAGATGGATACCCAGTGAACTGAACAGTGCAGACGAGCCCTCACGGTTTGGAACTGATGAGCCTTCAAAGTTGCTGACAGCGTGCATCGCCCATGGCGCCGAAGCAGAGTCGGTGCCTCCCGCCTCCAGCGGGACAACCGCCTTCAAAGGCGGCCAGAGTGGAGGCCCGGCTCAACCCGGGGAAGTTGACCGTGAACAGTTGCAAGGACAAGAAGGTTCCTGTTTTGAAACCAGCGGAGACCGAAGAGTTTCTGACAACCAAAGGGAGTCTAGGCGCGGTGCCCACTCTCGAGAATCCTGGCGACGAGCCTGTGGCGGTTCGAGACAGCGGCTCAGTCTCGAGCAGTTCAGACAGCAGCAGCGATTTCGAACTGGTGCAGAAGAGACGAAAGAACCTACACTCTCGGGCCCGCCACCGGAGAAGAAAGTATGTGGACTTCCTCATCGCGGGCAGGGGCAAGAGCGAGCTGACCTTGTTAGAAAGAAAGGCAATTGGAGCTGCGTCAGAGAAGATGTACCAGAAGGAGATGCAGGCCTTCCTCGACTATGCCCAATGTCGAGGCCTGGACGTCAGCAAGGCAGAGACAGTCGACAAGTTGATGGTGCAATACATGAACCTGTGTTACCTGGGGGGCCACCAAGCCTTTGTGGGCGACAGGCTCATTGCCAGTTGGCTGCATCATCACCCTCAATACAGCAAAGCTGGAGTAAAGAGGATTCCTCGTGCACTTCGCTGCCTCAAAGGGTGGAGACGCCTCTGCCCCGGAAGGTCCAGGGTTCCTTATCCTTTGGCCATTTGGTGCGGGGTAGCATGTTTGATGATGGAGGCTGGCTTTCCCAAGATGGCTGTTTTCGTAATGTTGGCCCTGTCTCCATGCAGTCGACCCTCGGAGCTTTTGAGATTGAGGAGGTTCAGCCTGATCCCGCCTGCCACCGGAGTGACGGGCAGCTGGAGTCTCCTCTTGAGCCCCGAGGAATTGCAACAAGCCTCAAAGACAGGAGACTACGACGTCAGTGTCCTGTTAGACTCTCCCTATACAAACTGCTGGGTCACCAATGTTCTGAAGTCCTTGAAGAAGGGAGCCAGCAGTGCTCGCCTGTGGGACTTCGACTACAGCCAATACCTGGCAGTGTTCAAGAGGTGCGCCAAGAAGATGGACATCCCCCTGGAGCCATACCACTCCCGGCACAGCGGCCCATCCATCGACCGGAGCCGCAAGTACCGGTCACAGCTGGAGGTGCAAAAGCGGGGGCAATGGAAGAGCAACAAGTCAGTCGTTCGCTACGAGAAGGCGGCAAGGCTGGCTCGAACCTGGGAGCAGATCCCTACCAAGACCAAGGAGTACTCGCAAGCGTGCGAGGCGGCGTTCGACGACATCATGACTGGCCGAAAGAAGTGTCCAAGTTCAAACCGCCTAGGAGAAACCAGAAAGGCTGCTATGTAGCGGATGTTTTCTCTGGACGCGGAGGCGTCGCTTTGGCTTGTGAGAGAATTGGTTTTGTGAGTCGGCAGTGGGACATTCGACTGGGACACCAGTGTGACCTCACCAGTCGGAACGTCCTTTACCGCTTGAAATGTGACATTAGAAGTGGCAAGGTGTTAGCAATGATGATGGCTCCACCGTGCAGTTCTTTTTCAGTGGCCCGCGATCGAATCAAGGTGATTCGAACACGGAACCAGCCATGGGGAATTTCGTCTGAGTTTTTGACCACAGCTGAGACGGAAAAGATACAGTTGGGCAATGCTTGCTTCAAATCGTGTTTTGCCTTGATCCGGACGCTGGACAGATTTGGCATCCCATGGATACTCGAGAATCCAGCTTCCTCAAAGTGTTGGCACCTTCCTTTTCTTCAGAGTATTTGCAGACAACAACATGTCCACAACATATATTCTGATTTTTGTCAGTTCGGCACTATTTGGAAAAAGCACACACGATTTGTTTGTGGCAACATCGAGTTCGATGACTTGCATCGTGTAAACTTGCAGTGTCAGGGTCAGTCTGTATGCAGTGTTACACGCAAGCCACATTTCCACCTCACTGGAAAGGGGCCCCATGGCAGACATTGGACAGAGATCGCCCAGCCTTATCCCCGACGGCTGTGCGATGGACTAGCTTATGCTTTGACGGCCAAACTTCACTACAATTATGTTTCCTACTAAAATACTGGGTTGAGCAATATCTGGTGAACATCTTTTTT